GTAAAGAAAGTTCTTACCATTTCTCATTCTGTAAAGAAAGTTTTTGCCATTTTATGCATTGTAAAGAAAGTTCTTGCTATTTTTTTGTTTTGTAAAGAAAGTTCTTGCTATTTTTTTTGTTTGGTAACGAAAGTTTCTCCGATTTTCTAAACAAAACGAACAAAAATAGCAGAGCATGCCGGTGACAAGTTATACGATTAAAAAGCAAGTGTTGACCAGTAAACAAAGTTTTGGTCATTTTTTGTTTTGTAAAGAAAGTTCTTGCCATTTCTCATTCTGTAAAGAATGTCCTTGCCATTTCCCAGTTTGTAAAGAAAGTTTTTGCCATTTTACGTCTTGGAAAGAAAGTTCTTGCCATATTTTGGGCTGTAAAGAAAGTTCTTGTCATTCCTTGTTTTGTAAAGAAAATTCTTTCAATGTTTTGCCTTGTAAGCAAAGTTCTTACGGTTTTTTGTTTTGTAAAGAAAGTTTTTGCCATTTTTTGTTTTGTAAAGAAAGTTTTTGCCATTTTATGCTTTGTAAAGAAAGTTCTTGCGATTTCTTGCTTTGTAAACAAAGTTCTCGCCATTTATCGTATTGGAAAGAAAGTTCTTGCCATTTCATGCAACGTAAACAAAAATGGAAAGAACTTTCCTTCCAAGCACAAAAAACCAAACTTAAAAAAAGACCACTCCCCTCCACTTTTTTCACAAATAAACGTTTAAAAGTCAGTTGCATAAAACAACTTCTGACTTATTGCAAAGAAAGTTCAGAACCATTTATCTTGAACAAATCACCCCCTCATTTCGGCGAACGGACACCAAATCACGGCTAATAAATGACATAAAATTGTGTTTTTTGAGGTAATCGAATTCGCTTTTTCCAGGTTTTAGTCAAAATAAAAATTTTCAAAAACTTAAAATTATTAGGTTGTTCTAAAAAGAATGACCGATTTTAAAGTTGATTTGTCCGCCAATCGGCCATTCTTTTTGAAAAAACCTAATAATTTTAAAATTTTTTAAAGTGGATGGGGGAAGGGAGGAGAGGAAAATGATAATAACTTTCTTTACAATTTATGAAATGGAAAGGATCTAAAATGGCAAGAACGTTCTTTACACGTCTCAAAAAGGCAAGAACTTTCTTTACAGAACTTGAAATGACAAGAACTTTCTTTACAAACCAAAAAATAGCAAGAATTTTCTTTACAGAACTTGAAATGGCAAGAACTCTACAGGACACGCTAAAATAAGCTTATTCTTACTCTAAATGCTAACCCAACACCATTTAAAACCAGAGAAAGACATAATCCAAACCCAAAAAACGGCTTTTCGTTTGGGTCCAAATTGAAAGTGTAATACCCAAAAAGAATTGGCTCACAACCTCTAATAAGCTTTTTATGTCCACTCTTTTCGAATAAGGCCAAATTAGCTTTCGGGTTACTTAGTCTAGCGGAAGTCGAACATAATGACAAGGCATAACTAAACATTTCAGACTTTGTAGACGAATTTCTTGTCATTTCAAATTCTGTAAACAAAGTTCTTGCCATTTTTTGCTTTGTAAAGAAAGTTCTTGCCATTTCTAGTGCTGTAAATAAAGTTCTTGCATTTTTTAGCCTTTTATTTGAATTTCGTTCCTTTATCCCCCCCCCACTCCCTTATGCATGTTCAAACTTTGAAATTAAAAAAAACCCCCAAATCTCAATCAAATCCACCCCCCCCCCTCACCATTCGAGAACATAAACCAGCAAAACTGCTCGAGAAATTCGAATAATTTTCGTCAAAATGGCATCAGCGGCTTCTTGAAATGTTCCTTATCGCTGCGACAAATCTATCGCCAAATTGCGGTAAATCTTGGTTCTCGTGGCTCGTATAGTCAAATACGAATCGATATTCATATTGTTTTGGTGATTTTTGGTGAACAAATTTTTGCGATTTAAATATTTTTAAATTTCAAAATTTTTTAAAAAAATTTAAAAAAAAAATTTTTAATTATAGAAATATTTTTAAAAATTTAATCTAAAACCAAAAAAAATTTACCTGCCCTCAACCCCCCCCATTTTTTTTATTTTAAAACTTAAAAATTTACCCCTACCCCAACTCTTCACTTACAAACCCAGGGACGTCGTAAAATTGCACAGGTAGGTACCTGTACGCGAAAAAAAACGAAAAAAAAAATTTTTTCGACCTCCCCCTCCCCCCAGAGAAAATCCGTAGCGACGTCCCTGTACAAACCCAAAAAAAAGTTACCACGCCCTTCACTGAAGTACCCTAGAAAATTACTACCCCTTTATTAAAAAACTCAAGAAAAGAATTTCTCCCCCTCCCCCCCTCCTCACTCAAATGAAATACTAATTAACCACCCCTCCCCGCCCAAAATAAAAAAGCGACATATGAAGTAAGAAAAGGACAAAATTTGGTTAAGAAATGAAATTTAACGAAAAAAGTGCGCTCTTCTTTGGGCATTGTTCTGCCACTCTTGTCCTCACCCCCCCCCCCCCTTCCACCCTCACTTTAGCGCCCCATGCAGCTGTTTGAAAACGCGGCCGAACGCGCCAAAACCGACCATAAGGACACTGAAAACACCCCCAAATCCAACGGTTTCGAACCGTTTTGTCGCGGCTTAAACCGAGAATTAACAAAATCCGGGCTGGATTGGGGTATGATAGGCTGGATTGGGGTATGATAGGCTGGATTGAGGTATGATAGGCTGGATTGGGGTATGATAGGCTGGATTGGGGTATGATAGGCTGGATTGGGGTATGATAGGCTGGATTGAGGTATGATAGGCTGGATTGGGGTATGATAGACTGGGGTAGAGTATGATGGACTGGAGTAGGATATGATGGGCTGGGGTAGAGTATGATAGGCTGGGGTAGGATATGATGAAATACGACGGGAAAAGGTAGGATAGGGTAAAATATAATAGCATAGTGTAAGATAAGGTAAATTTGGCTAAAGAAAGGCGACCTGGACTAAAATTGGATTTTTGGGTAGAGGGGGACGGGATGTCTCCTCCCTAAGGCCAAAATCACCCCGCCCAAACACTGCCCACTTAAACAACTTCTTAAGAATTTTAAGTATCAAACCATATAACTTATATATATATAGACTTAAACCTTTAAGTATATAACTTTATATTGAAAATTAAAAAGTCTTGTCGTTAAATCATAGGTAGTTACACTTGAAAAAACGAAAAGACTTTTCTAACACCATAATAGTACCTCAAACTTAAAAAAAACAAATTTTTAGTCAAAAAAAATAATTTTAAAAATTTGAAATTTCATTAAAAAAGTAGCAACTTACATCAATATTGGTGATCATTCAGCTCAGTCATAACATTAGCTGTGGTAATTGCCGAAGATAAGAAATCTGTAAAATCGACTATAAATTACTGTAAAAATAAAAAATGAGAAAGAGAAATACTGTAAACCACGTGATTTATACTGTAAATCAATTTTATATTTTTTCAAAAAAATCGCAAAAAAAATTTTGTTACCTAAAATTTTGAAAAGTTTTCAATTCAAAGCCATAAAAAACAAGAAATGAAAAATTTACACTGTCGTAACACCTAAACATCATAAAACATCCAATTAACTTATTTTTATCTATAAAATTTTAAAAAGTTTTGTTACCTAAAATTTTGATAACTATTATAAAACCACCAAATTACAACTAAATTGACATTTTACTATAAAATACTCTCTCAAAGCCTTAAATTATCAATTCTTATCTATAAAGTATCCTCCCAAATCCATAAATTATTACTTCTTTATAAACTTTTCTAAAGGTCACCAACTTTTGTTACCTAAAATTAAAAAAACCAAAAATTTTTTAAAACCTCACCTTCTATAACTTGTTTTGATCAGCTAAATCCATTTATGGTAACTTCAAAGCCTCCAGCATCTTTATCTTGTCATATTTATAAGTCCAAACCAGTCGATACAAAGGTTCGGCTTCTCAAAAACTTGTTATCCGTTGAAAACGCTCTGTTAAAAAACAAAATTTGCAATTATGGCTTTTCAAATTACTTTTAAAAGATCCCTCACAGTCCTCTGATGCTAACAACATCAACATCTTCAAAAATCTAAACCAAGAACAACAAAAAAAAGCATAAAACTTACCTCAAGGACACTAGCTGGTGATCCAACAACTCCATAACCCGAAGAATCAGCCAAAACGTTCACCAACATCAACAAGGCCGCAGAAACTACAAATCCCAATCCAACCACGACTGAAAGAACGTGTCGCTGATTTAAAGACGACTTTAGGCTTGAAAATCGACCAGCCGGAACTTTTTCCAGATCTCGTAGAGCACGATGAAGTAGATCCAGCGCGTGCTGCTTCTTGTAACAACGCTTATATTATCACAGCATGTATCGTTGGTGATACTAGAGCGACAACACCTGAAAGAAGAATGGATAATGGCCAGAAAGAAGAGCTGAAAGCAATATACCTACTATAACATCAAATAAATGTTAAAAAATATAATGTTGATTAAAAAACACAAAAATTAAACTGTGAAAAACATTTAACATGTCTAAAAATTCATAAAATCAACATTAACATCAACTTTTCACTCTAAAACACCTTCAACTTCATAAAAACATACCTAACAAAAAACAATATCAGTCAGAAGGTTTTGTGCGAGACAGTTAAAAAAACAGTTAAAAATGGTGCAAATGCGACTGCATAATATAAAAGTGGAAAGGCTAACATCTCGGCCGTTGAACCAAAAAGTTCCGAACGTTTCGCAGGTTTTTCGCTCGATTTGCGGAAAAGTCTTGACACTTTGAGTCAAGTTTTCACAATTTTTTTGACGTGGTCGATTTTTGTTCGTTTTGCAGTCGATTTTCGTTTAGTTTGCAGTCGGTTTTGGCCACTATATTGAATTTTCGGGGTTTTTTGGGGCTTTTACGCTTGTTTTTTCGTATTTTATGTTTATTTTAATTATAACTCGTGAAATGTTCATTTATAACGCGTTTTTCAGTTTTTTAACTTTTTTTTCAAATTTCAGATACTAAGATGGCCAGTACCAAGAATTCCAAGAAGAACGTCCTTCCAACGGACCAAGTTCAACGTTTACAACGAGAACTGGCTGAAAAGAATGAGGAAATCAAGGAAATGAAACAAAAAATGACGGAGCTTGAAGGTCAAGTAGAATATTTGGCGGAGGAAAAATTCCGGCTCAGGCTACAACTTACGAAAGTAAGACTAGTGGCGGTAAGTTTGAGTTTTTTAGCATATTGTTGTTTTTAGAAATGGGTTTTATGCTTTTTAAAAGTTTATTTTTGAGCTTTGATTACGTAAAAATTGCAGCGGCATACAATCGACTCACCTGATGAGAAGGTTCCAATTGCCCGTTCAGCGGTCCGGCCGCCAGCTCAATCTTCAACCGCTGTAATGGATAATACGGGTATCAATAATGGAATTATACATATTGAACAGGGCCGGCACATTAAGGTAAGAAGGAATTTAGGATCTTGGTGTTAATTATATTGTTTTTGTTATGCTAAAAATTAAAATTATTTTTTCTGCTATTGATTTGAATAATAAAAATTACAGAAGACGAAGAACTACTATAATAATAATATAATTCTGACGCAACCCATGATAGTCATGCCCTTGGACGTGGCGTTAATTAGATTGGACACGACACTGGAAAAAGGTGTATGGTATCAAAAAAGAGAAAAGAACAAGTAAGTTTGAGTATTATTTATATCTTTTGTTAAAAACAAAAATAAAATTTTGAATTTATGATCAACATATTATCTTTCACACCAAAATTATATTCCTAATATAGCGCCTTTTTTGCTAGGATTCACCTGTTTATAATACTCCATTTTTAGGTACCTGTATCAAAAAGATTCCCACGGAATGCGGGCTACATTATCGAGTACGACCTTGAAGAAGTGAAGCAACGGATGCCTCCAAGAAAATTTCAATCAAAATCAGACAGAAAGAAGGCACGGCAAATATGGTACCTGATCAAGAAGAACAAAGAGCGAAAGCCGCTGACCGCATACGATGTGTACTTGGTGGAAGGGTACAGCCAACTGTCTACCTGGTTCCAGCCGGTCGATGGGCCTACTTTCTACAGTCTATATGACATTAGCAGGTCACCCACGACTCAGTGACGCGAGAAACAGTGATAACTAAACACCTGCGGAGAGGCCTAATTTTGGTAAACGTCGGACTGATAGCCCCGTTATACGTTACAATCTCAGTCTATATGGTATTGTGCTCCTTCGAATCCTGAATAATAAACTTTGACATCAAATTGACTCACTAACAATTCTTATTGATTTCTAAAATACAGTAATCTTTAGAGAGATACAGTACATTACTTAATTATCTACTGTAATATTAAAAAGTAAAGTTGTAGAAGAAACCTTCCGAAAGGTGTAATAGGCATAACGCTTTAAATTTAAAAAAAATCAAAAAATGAATAATTTATTGATTTTCAGCAAAAAGAGATACGAGTTCTTCGCCAGTCTTGACGATATCATCGTAGACTTCTTGGCAGTTGGCTAATATGACAATGCAGATACCATTGGGTTCATTTTTCGAATTCTGATTGTTGTTCAAGGGTTTTACGAATAGTAATGATGAGCATCCAGTCGCTGCGCCAGTGTGGTAACTAAAACAATAAGTTTTTGGTCAAAAAGTTTATAGAAATTAGTTAAAAATAGTCAAAATGTCTATAGAAGTCGTTTAAAATCGGTCAAAAAGTCCATAAAAATCACTTTTTATTCTAAAAGTCCCATGAAAAGTACCGTAACTTTCAAAAAAACTCACAAATATCCAGTTTGGTACTGTGTAGTACCATCCACAACCCTTGTTTCCGGCTTTCTCGACCATCCCAACGCGTAAAAGTCCTTGTAATCCGAGGTTTTGTAGTCTTGATTTAGGAATGTGTCCATTGTTTCTTTACTCAAATACGATTGACACTTGCCTTGGTAACTAAATGAAATGACATTAGTATCCTTCACTCAACACTTACCTACCCACCCCTCTAAATTTATACCACATCCCTCCCTCAACCAAATACCCATCCCAATTCCTCACCTAGCCAACAGAGCATTGCCAAACTTGAGTAGATCCTTGGTATTAGACAATATTCCACCACCTGGGTGTTTGTAGCTCACGTCCACTTCTGGCACGTTGACCAGCTCGTGATGTCGGTTCCTGCGATAGTATCGTGCACGATTCGGTACGATCCTCTCATTCACATCCAATATGGTATTGTTCATGCCGAGATCAGTAAAGAGCTCGCGACTCAGCTGACGATACAATTTGGATGACGCCTTTTCTAGACACGCCGCCAAGAGGGCATAACCATGGGTGGTGTAGCTGAAATCGCCTGGTTTTTTGATTAGAGGGTCGTTCTTGAACATTTCCAATGCCGACTCCAAGTTCTTGTAGGCATGGCGGCGTAGGTATTCGTCTTGAGGCCGATCTTCACCATACTTGGCATATGAATCGTCTTTTTCTTTTGGTGTTGGATCAGACTGAAATGTCAGCTCAATTGTAAGATTTAGTTAACTGTGCACCAGGTAGACCTTAGAACATAGTAGCGCTAGAGGCAAGAAAGACATTAGGATAGGGATAGAAGTAAAGGCAGAAGTAAAGATGAGGACACCGGTGCCGATAGAGTTAAAGTTGACAACGACATGTAAAACCTACCTTATGATAATGCCTGATTCCACCTCTATGTCCCAATAGCTGTCGTATCGTGATGTCAACTTCCTTGTTTTCCCATTTTTTCTTTGGAAAGTCGGATAGGTACTTCTGAAAGCAAAACTTCATTAAAAATAAATAAAAACTAACACGTTTATACCTTTAAATAACCTAAAAATTCATAAAAATTCAAATTATTTCTATTTTTATACACAGATTTATCAAAAACCACTAAAAACCTGTCGAACTCCTGACAACAACATCAGATCCCTAGTGTAATATAACATTCATCACAATACAAAAACAACATTTAACAAACTTCAAAAACCCACATAAATAGAAGCTTCCAAATCCACAGTACCTCGTTCAACCAACTTTGCAGTGATTGTGGCAGTAATAGACTTGCTTATGCTAGCTATCCTCATCACAGTATCTGGCCGACATTTAGTGCCATTTTCAACATCACTAAAGCCAAATCCTTTCGAATATACTGTTTTTCCATTCACTGTTACACCAACTGTTACTCCTGGAGTGCCGGAAACATTCTGAAAAAGATGGTTTAGTTATGGGGAAAATCATATTATACTAGACATTGACTCGAACAGATGGTTGTATAGGTAACAATTGTATGTGTAACAATAAGAATTTATATTAAAAAGCTTGCCAAACACCTTATTCTTATATAGAAAGATCAATTTTTAAACTATTTCGCTGATTTTTATAAGTTTTATGAAAAAGTATATTACACTAGACACTAGGCCAAAGATTTTTTTCTAGAAAGCACAATGTTAAGTCCAGCATTAAATTAGTGTCTGACAAGGTAAAATATACTTTCTTTTTACCTTGCATAATAATAACATTCCATTATAAAAACCTAAGAAGCAGTATCTAAAATTATATTACACTTGCCATCTGATATCGAAATCTCTTGTAAAACTCATAAATATGATAAAACGCATTATCATTCTTCCAAAACAGTCTTTGAAACCAATATTAAAATTGATAAAGCTTTTAAATTAATATCTCCTCATTAAACTATCAAAAATACTGCTTTAAGCCTCGAATAACTTACCATCCATCGCTCGATAATCTTGTCCGCTTTTCTTCGTTTGTTCTCAACTTTGCTCAACGTCCAAACTTTCTTGTTGAGTTCTTCGTAATTAGAAGCACCAACAATGCCAACAGCAGCTAAAACTGCTCCAGGTTTAGCTAGCTTCATGTTTTATTTTTTAAAATTTGTGAATAAAACAGAATTTTTAGAGAATTTCGTAGATTTTTAATAAATTAAACGTTTGATAACAATTTTTCTAATAAAAAAGCAAAGAAAACGCCGTTCGAAAGCAAAAAATATATAATTTACAAGAAAGAAACGCTAAAAGCGAACATAAAAAGTGTTTAATAAAGGTCGGAAATTGTTTTAGGTGACAATGCGCGTTGAATCATTCATAACAAAGGCACTAAGCCTAAAATTCACAACCGAAAATAAGAATAGTTGCCCATAAAATTACTTTTAAAAGTTCCTGTTTCTAACAACGTCAAGAACTTCCATAATCTAAACCAAGAACAACAAAAAATCAAAAAACTTACCTCAAGGACACTAGCTGGTCGTCCAACAAGCTCATCACCCAAATAACTCTTAACTGTTAAATGTAGGTATTCTTCCAATTTTGCCCCTATTCTATCATGGTTGAAGCGGCATTTGTCCAACTGGAGCAGTTTCTCAATTCCTATGCAACACAACAAGGTGAAGGTGCTTCCACAGATCATAACTCATCGTTTTTCGTGTTTCTTCAAGCTTTATAATCTGTAAAACATTCGGAATATTAATTTACGTCATGCAAACTTTTGCAAGCACATAACACGCAATATAACGGCAAATAACCTTGTTTTAGATCCCATACCCTTGTAATACGCGACTAAAAACGCGGACATATTTATTATCAAAACACAAAACATAAGCGGAACTACAATAAACAAGTAAAGTCACAAAACGTGTTTCCTTTCTAAATATAGAAAGAAGTTGGTTTTTATAAACGATGGGTTTCACAGAACATTCAATTAACGATCAGACTACAGAGGCAAGACTACTACATTATGGAGTGTAACTCAAAGAACGAGCATTCAGGATTAGTATAAAAGGGGATTGGATTCATTCAACAGGTAGTCTCCTTATTCCTATGAAATATTCTCTGTGTGTAATTATATTGTGAATAAACTGTTATTATTGATCGATCTATTTAGGAGTACAACACCCTTTTATAACAAAATCTCATGGCAACATTAATATAATTAACAAAATTCTTTGAAAAACATTTACAATAAAGTATCATTATCACCTAGCTGCTTAACACTTTACTAAATTGATCAAAAACTTGTCGTAAAGCCAGAGGATACGAAAGCAAAACGAAAAACAAGTTCGGGCAACAACTTCGATAACGTACAGCTGCGCACGAAATACTGCAGGCTGCAAAGCCATTTTTTACGACAAAACATTCACAATGAAAACAAATGAAGATATGCATGCCTCACAGTCTTTACCTGTATAAAAATAAAATCTAACCAATCCCTATAATAATAACCAGAGTTTATTCAGGAAACCATTATAAAACGAAAAAAGCTATCAAAAATCCAATAGATATTAACATAGCCGGCTTTTGGGTGAAACCGTTACCCGACATCCATTTCAGCTTTCGACGAATCAATTTAGACTGTGTGGTTAGCAATGGCACAAGGCCGATTCTTTCGCCCTCTGGCTTGTTCGAGGAGGTGCGCAGATTCTTTGGGATCACATATACTTTATCACTAAACAAACTCGTTATCAGTAAAAAATTAAAAATTTTTTTAAATCGATTAATTTTTTTCGCGTTTCACGCTTTAAAAAGAAAAAATGCAAAAAATTGTATATTTTCATTTTTTTAACTAAAAAACAGCTAAAAACGACCAAAAATCAGTGATTTTAGAGCTTTTAATCTTCCTTTTGGCCGCCTTATCACTGAAAAACAAAATTTTTGGTAAAAAACGTATTTATCGTCTTTAAATGAACAGAATGATCTAGAACAGTTCCATGGAATCGTGAAATTGAAGGCTTTGTACATGTATTGATCTTCCGGATCCAGAATTTCTAGCTCACCAGTGTCACGGTTGATTCCACATCGCTAAAGGTTCAAAGCTTATATTTTTTGCAATTAATATCCTCTGTGATATCCTTATCATGCTCAAAAGCTTGCTATATTATCCTACCCTATCTTGCCAAAGCTATATTAAAGCCTGATTTCTACCTTATCCTACCCTACCTTACCATCGTTATATTCAACCTTTATCCAACCTTACGTTACTCTACCCTACCCATACTTACAACATCCGCTACCCTACCCATACTTAAAACATACGCCTTTCTGACTCTACTACACCTTATCTAACCCTACACACTACAGCTACAACTAAAGCCTACTTGATCCACTCCAAAGCACTGTTTTTTAATGTCAAAAATAGTCGAGTTCTTCTTGAAATACGAGTCGAACTGTGCTGTTACTGTCCTATCACACATGTCATATGTCTGCGGTTTTTTCGACAGCACATTCTGTGCCCATGTGAACCTGGCATTGTCCAAGAAGATCAAGTTTCGGTAGGAAAACGCATGGGTGACTAACGCATCGTAGTCAAGAAAGCTTGAGGTTTCTCTAGAAGGCATGATATGGTGAGCCACAGGTAAGAATGAATAAACATTGCTCGAGTAAATTGCAATATCAGTCTAAAATTTCAAAAACACGTCCGAATATTAAAAACACGCCCAAATGTAAAACTTTTAAAAATAAATAACTTACAACACACTTGACGTCATAACGGTGAATCGTCCTTCTCTGAACAATACAAACGAATGGATCTGGTAAGCATCACCCAATGGTGTTACTTTCCAAGACATAGAGTTTGAAGAGTCCGTCAGACGGAACGATGGTCCAATGGTTTCATTGTAGGCTGGAATATTACTTGAAGACGTACGAGGAAGTTACCTATGTAAAGGATTGTATATATAAGGTTAGTACATCCATAGTATGATTTTCATACTTATAGGTAGTGTGACCTTTACCTATATGAAAAAGTAGAACAACCGTTACCAAAAAACAAAAAAAAATGAAAAAAAACTTACTTGAAAAGCGAGCTTCAATAAAAGTGCCCTGAGAGGTTTTAACATCAAAGAATTCCAGGAAATTCTCAATCTCTCCTTCTCGAATTTCAACTCCATTGACAACAACAAAAATCGACCAAACAAGAACGTAACAAATCAACCGCATTTCAGCGTCAAATACAAAAATTTACAATTTTCAATTTTGAACCTTCAAATTAAAAAAAAAATTTAATTTTGAAAAAATACATATTAAATTTTTTGTTTTCAAAATCCATAACTCAAATTTACTTTTTAAACCAATTTTCAATCAAAACAAAAATATCAAGTCAGTCGTGTCCTTGACGAATCAAACATTTATCAAAACTTATATTATCCATGCTTCTGCCTCAACTGCAGAAAAATGGTCGAAACTACCCTAAAAACGAAAAAACCCAAACAAAAATTGACTTACTTATAGAATGTTCATATTCCTTTAAGTTTAATCTTGCTTTACACAATCTCAGCGATATTTCTCCAACTGGAGCAGTTTTTCCAATTGCGAGCTCTAAACCAAGGTGAAGATACCTCCACAGAATATAACAGCTTGTTCATCGAGTTTCTGTAAATTTTCTGTTTTCTAGAACATTCAAAATATTGTTTTACATCTTTCAAACGTTTTACAAGCATATAACGCGTAATATGACAGCAAATAACCTTGTTTTAGACCCCATGATCTTTGACAGCAAAGTATTACGTCAAAACCAATCAAATCAACAAAATTCTTTTAAAAACAAGTAAAATAAAGTCAAAATAAGTTACATCTGTTCGAAATTTACGTAAATCAGCTCAGAGTTTGTGGAAAACCTAGAGGAAAAGGAATTCAAACAAGTTCGGAAAATAGAAACAATCTTCAGTGAAAAACCGTCGCGCCCGAGCAGCGCAGGCTGCAACTTCGTAAAGCACGGTAAAAGCAGGACGACAAAATCAAAAATTAAACATCCTATTTTTATATACCAGTAACTTGTCAAAAAACCAAAAAAAAATCGTAAAATAAACTTTTTGATCAATTTTCAATGATCTACATCAATATAAAATCAGATAAACAAGTACTGTACAAAACGTCATTTATTGTCCTTCATCGTGTGATAGCGTTTTTGAAATGTTGCATGAAATCAGCAATGATTATTTTCTCGTAGCTAGACGTGATTTTGAGGTTAATGTATTCCAGTACGATGGCATATATGTACAGGTATTGAAGGTCGGTCTGGACGGCACATACTCGTTGAGTTCTGATCGTTCTCACGATTTCTGATATCTGTAAACATTTTCAGTGTAAAATACGTGCTCTCAACCTAGTTAGAATACTATTATAGACAAAACAACTAATTTAGGTGACACTGAGGCTTCGAAAAAGTCTTGTCGTCTTTTTACGTGTAAATGCACGTTAAAAAACAACAAAACTTTTGTTTAGCTGTTTCAAAGTAAAAAATAAGTTTTAGGTAATAAAATAAAATTACAAAACCTACATCTGGTACTTGTTCTCGTTTGATGAAACTATACAGAGCAAAACCAATGGCAATAACTGTAGCCGTCCTTCCAATTCCAGATGTACAATTTACAATACATGTTCCCTGAAAATTATATATATATATATGTTTATCTCAATTTGTACATCTAAAGATTAAAAACCATCTAAAAGAATATAAAAATTTATCCAGGAACAATCATCGTATTTTACCCAAAAACCAAAATTCATACCCGAAAACACAGAAAAAGCAATACAAAACACCATTTCTATAACCCCTAAAACAATATAAAACAACCCGTTTCAATCCACAAACTCAAAAACAGTACCAAAAAGTACCATAAAGTGGCAAAAATGCGTACGCCACTTGAGATTCCAAGGACGTCTCCGATCCAAGTACTAATCAAGCGCACCGTTGCTTAACTTGCCAGATCGGACGGGATGGCGTGCGTTCAACGAGCTATGGGCGTACACGATTGTTTACCTTTCGTTTTCTTTCACTTTCCTTTTGGGGGAAATAGAGGGTCGAAAGGGGTAAAATGATGTTTAAAGGGGGTGTTTTTGGACGTAAAAATGTTTAAAAAATATAAAAAAAGCAAACCTAAACTATTTTTACCTCATGCATTCATGGGCGTACACAACTGTATCTCTTTCCTTTTCTTTCCCTTTCCTTTTGGAGCTCATTATTGGGTTGAAAGGGGTAAAATGAGGGTGAAGGGGTGTTTTTGAAAATATTTCGATTTTAAAATTCAAAAATTAATTAAAAAAGTAAAAATTCATGCCAGTTTTCGTAAAAAATTCCGAAAATTTCTCGGAATTAAAATAAAATTTTAAAAAGTTCAGAATTCAAAGCTATAAGAAAAGCCATGAGACCAAATAATGAAAAATTTACAATGCCATAACTCCTAGACATCATAAAACATCAATTTAACATTCTTATCTGATGGCGTGCGTTCAACGGGCTATGGGCGTACACGAGGAAATTTCTTTCGTTTTCGTTCCCTTTCCTTTTGGGGCTGATTAATGGGTTGAAGGGGGTAAAATAAGAGTAAAAAAGGTTGTTGCTGGTTTTAAAATGTAAAAAATTTTAAAATTCAAAAAAATATATTTTAAAACATTTTGCTTTTTTCCCTCTCTTTTTGGGAGAAATTATGTGAGTAAAAAAGAGTAAAATAGGCTTAACAAGAGGTGTAAGGAGAAAACAATGTGTCATATTAAACACTAGGTGAATGTGTCATAACAAATATAAGGTCCTGATAGGTAAATTAGAGTAGAATAGAGTAAAGGTAAACCCGCTTACTTTAGGTATTGAACGAATCAACCTCAACATGCGTATCTTATTCGGCGGTCGTCCTCGGTCTGGCCAGTTATGCATTATTAAAAGCTTGGTTTCCATCGCTTCTGAAGCTTGACTTACTTCATATGTGTAGACAGTTAGGCCTTCCCTTTTGAAGCACTGAAAACATTTAAATTTGATTAATCCAAAATTTAAAACTTTTTTCAAAAAAGTAGGTATATTGTAAGAAAAACAAGTTTTCGTGGTGGGACCAAAAACCAGTTAAGAAAAAACCAAGTTTTCGTCATGGAACCCATACTTATGAAAAATCGAATTTTCGTGGCGGGACTAAAAGAGAAATTCAAAATTTTTTAATTTTAAGAAATTTTCATTAAAAATCAACTGTAAGTCAAAAATTCAAATTATCGTGGTGGGACCAAGACCTGACTTCAAAAATTTTTAAATTTCATAAGAAAAAACAGAAATTCAAGTTTTCGTGGTGGGATAAAAAGCAAATCCCAAAAATTTTAAATTATAAAAATTTTTTCAAAATCAGCCATAAATTCATAAAAAATCGATTTTTTATTATGATACTTAAAAATCCAAAATAATAAATATAAAATTACCGTTTTAGTATAAACTAAAACATTTCCATAACAAGTACTGGTTCCTGGTATTTGTGGAAAGTATAAAGCGGTGTTTTGATCCAACTCTTCAGAAGAATCCGAAAAAGTTACTATTGCTGAAGATTTGGTCTGGAATACCATTAGCCAATAATCGTTTACTGTAGCATCTATCGGATTCTGAAAAAAAATTTTTGTAAAGAAAGTTATTGTCGTTTTACGTTTTTTTGAAGAAAGTTTTTGCAATTTTATGTTTTGTAAAGAAAGTTTTTTCCATTTTACCTTTTGTAAAGGAAGTTCTTGTGATTTTATGAATTGTAAGCAAAGTTCCTGCCATTACAACACCAAAAACCTTAACAGTACTCACCTGTGCAGCAATAAACCTCCGCCTCCAGTACCCCTTCAGCATCACATAGTTGGCATGAATATAATCTGTACCAGTAGTACTATTCAGTATAACCCTTGAGTGATCCATGCATACAACATCTTTAAATCGATTTTTCGTTTCATGTTCGGTGAACGCTTCGTATTTTAGGTTTGCTGGAACATACGGTCGTATCTCTGTTTCGTACTCTTTTATTATACCGTCAATACCTAAAAGTAAAGATTTATGCTCTGTAAAGAAAGTTATTGCCATTTTTTGTTTCGTAAAGAAAGTTCTTGTCATTTTCTGTTTTGTAAAGAAAGTTTATGCAATTTCAAATCGAAACAAGAAAAATTAGAGCTGTGCTGCCTGCGGGTGACAAGTTATACGATGGATACAAATTTTTTATATGTAAACCAATTTCTTGCTATTTGATGCCTTGTAAACATAGTTCTTGCCTGAATCTTAAAAATTATTTTTACAATGACATACCTTTAAGATTAGTAGCTTTTATAAACCGACTAGCCGCTTCAATTTGATTTTTGGTCAAAAGATTTCCAAATGTTTCTCTTTCATCTCCAACGTTTGTTACCTCAAGATTCAGATCCTGAAAGAGTAAAACACAGTTCAAACCAAAAACCATCTCTAAAAGGATGTAAAACAACACTCCCCCTACCTCGAAACCCAAAAATAGTACCAAAAATATCATAAAACGGCAAAAATGCGTACGCCACTTGAGATTCCAAGGACGTCTCCGATCCAAGTACTAATCAAGCGCACCGTTGCTTAACTTGCCAGATCGGACGGGATGGCGTGCGTTCAACGGGCTATGGGCGTACACGTTTGACTCTCTTTCCTTTTCTTTCCCTTTACTTTTGGGGCCGATTATTGGGTTGAAAGGGGTAAAATAAGGGTGAAAGGGTGTTTTTGAAAATATTTCTATTTTTAAATTCAAAATTAATTAAAAAAGTAAGAATTCATGCCAGTTGTCGTAAAAAATTCCGAAAATTTTTTTAAACTTTTTTCAGATTGAAAAAAAATTTTTAAAGTTCTTAAAAACTCATTCTATGCCCATTATTAAAATCAAATCTTACCTTATCACTCTTCTGTTGTAGATTTGGTTCAGAGAAATTGTCGTCTGCGCGGTGCGATGAGCGACAATTTTTCGTCGGCGATTTCATGCTTTTACCATAAAAAGCACCGCTTTGGAGGATGGTAAACAAAAGAAATGGCATGAAAGATAAACCAAAAACGATTTTTGATCAACTTTCTAAAAAAATTTTAAAATTTTAATTTTTCAGTTTGTAAACAAAGTTTTTGTCATTTTTTGTTTTGGAAAGAAAGTTCTTGCCGCTTTCTGCTTTTTAAAGAAAGTTTTTGCCATTTTCTCACGAGGAACAAAAGAGATTAACTGTGTGCGGCTTGCAGGTGACAAGTTATACGATGGATAACGTTTTTTGATTTTTAAAGAAAGTTGTTGCTATTTTAAGCTTCGTAAAGAAAGTTCTTACCGTTATAAGCCATGTAAAGAAAGTTTCTTCCATTTTCTGTGAAAAACAAGCAAGATTAGCATTGCGCAGCCTGCAGGTGACAAGTTATACGACGAACAACATTTTTTGTTTTGTAAGTAAAGTTTTCGCCATTTCTGACCTAATAAACTCAAAATATACCCAAAATTCGATTTAAAAGTTTATTACAAGGTACTTGTCAAAATATGATTCCCTGGAGAGACAAAAGTTATGCACGAAAAGAGTAAAGGCATATTAGACTAGGTATAAGTGAGATAGGGCTTCGAGAGATCATTAGGTACAATTCTAGCGTCATAGACTATTTTTTAGCATCAAACATGGTTTAAATTGATTAGACATGATTAAAAAAGTAAAAACTTACATTATGCGATTGGTAGTTACAGTCATGGTAACATAGGTATATATAGTAGTAAGCTTTATATAAACATGGTGAAATATTAACATACCATAGTAAAAGCAAGAAAAATACAAACATAAATGTGAAATCATCTACATATGGTAGAAATAAAAAACAATTTTCATATCCAATGTCATAAATATACTATAATATTACAAGATATACACATTAACATACGATGTATATACATTTTTGATGATTACTATAAATTTCATAAAAATAATGTTAAATAGAGATCAGTTAGGCCTTTTTTGAAGTGAAATTCTTGAGAAAATAAAATTTTTTTATATAGCAAGTGATTTTAGAAATTTTGAGCTGCGCCCAGCTTTGGCGCAGCCTGCAAAAGATAAAATGGATTTTAAGCGAAGTAATGAAGAAATAAGGACATTTTATATAAAATATGTCAGATTTAGTCAGAAAATTAGAGAAATTTCATGAAAATGTCATATTTTTTGAAAAAATGACATTTTTATATCAAAAATGACATTTTTAGTGTAAAGTAACATTTTTTTGTCAAACATGACATTTTTACTCCCAAAATGCCGTTTTCAAACCAATCTTAGCACCAAAATGCCACCTCACTCCTCTTCCTCATCATTACTGTCCAACTTGATCTTCACCACCTCATCCTCACTTTCAAATCCCATTTTTCGCGCCCAATCCGGCTGATACTTCTGCCGTCGTCGCGCATTCATAAAGAAGTTACTGACCGTAGTAGTCTCCAATGACAAGTGTTGTGCAATCGTATGTTGCATTTCTCGACTTGGCCGCTGGGTTTCACGGAAAATGGCATGCAATGTGCGTTTTTGAATCTCTGTGAAGACAAAGCGAGACTTCTTCGGAATCACAGCACGAGGTTTCCGCCCAGCATCATTGGATGAGTACTTTGAGGCCTTGGCTTTTGCTGATGAGGCTGGAAAGTGAACTATTAAATTTAATACCCAACAGTCTCTAAAACAATATAAAATTAACACAAACAAAGCCATCGTATTTTACCTACGTATGAAAGATTCAAAAACTTTTTAAAACAATATAGTACAACCAGTTATTACTTCCAAACTCAAAAATAGTACCAAAAACTTAGATAATATAAAATAAATCTTCGTATTTTACCCAAAAAAAAGCAAATTCCAAACCCAAAAAAACCCCTAAAACAATATAAAACAACCCTTTTCTACCCCCAAACTAAAAAATAGTACCACAAAGTGCCATAAAACGACAAAAATGCGTACGCCACTTGAGATTCCAAGGACGTCTCCGATCCAAGTACTAATCAAGCGCACCGTTGCTTAACTTGCCAGATCGGACGGGATGGCGTGCGTTCAACGGGCTATGGGCGTACACGTTTGACTCTCTTTCGTTTTCTTTCCTTTCCTTTGGAGGAAATTATTGGGGTGAAAGGGGTAAAATAGGGTTGAAAGAGGCGTTTTTGGGTTTAAAAAAATGTTAAAAATTTAAAAAAATTTTAAAAAAATTAAATTTTTAAAGCTTTTCTTCTCTCTGTTCCTTTTTTTTGGGAGGAATATTGTAGGTGAAAGAGAGTAAAATAAGTATAAAGAAGGTGTCTCTGAGCATAATTTTAGATAATTTTTAGATTTACAAGTTAAGACATTAATATGATTAAAAAGTCTTATAGCTGCTTAAAACTGAATTTGTGAAAAAATGATTTGAAAAGCAAGATTTAAAAAATGCAACTTTATTTTTTAAAATTTAATTTTAATATTTTTTTTTAAAATTTTTTTAAATGTTAAAAAATTTTTAGTTTTTTTCAAAATTTTTTGAAGCAACATACAATGTACGTACATGCCATAACATTTCTTCTACAACATGTCTTACCTTCGCTCATTCCCACAGTAGCCAACCGCTGACCCAATGGCAGGTTGAGCCATGAAAACATACGACGATAAGTGTCTCGGCCAGCTTTCAGTTCTTCCCACGGCTTTGGGTTACGTAAAAGGTCAGAGAGGGTGCCTTGCGACCGGTCGATGACTTTTTCGGCAAATACGGTTTGAGGAATACAGCGATGCTTCAGCTCAGTAGTGATATCCTTGGCCAGTTGGGTTGTGTCAATGTAAATGTCATCATCGTATGGGTTTAGCATCTTCGATGTGGTTGATGTATTGCTGGATGAGGCTGATGTTGAAGGCCCTGTCGATGAGTAGTGGACTGGTTCGATGGTGTATTCGGTAAATTCGTCTACTGAGGATTTTCGTTTTTGGCGGTTTCTCTGAAATTTGAATTTGTTTTAGATGTTTTGTACCATTATATGTAACACTATATATAGTATTCCGTGCCGTTATAGTACTTTATATAGTATCTTTTACTAAATATGTCTAAACCCCAAAAAACCTTTCTAAACTCAAAACACTCCACCCAAAACAACCATACCTGCAAGTATAATGTCCGATTCGGCACAACAGGCGCATCAAAGCTGATAGGATCATTCTCATGCTCGTATATGATAATGTGAGTGGGATGATCGTATAACATATCATCTCCCATGTTCTCTACATCAATATACTCTTCGGCTTCTCGTAACGGCCATGGTAGAATGTCGGTCATTACTGTATCCATCGGCTCTTCTTCATACTGTAAAAAATCGTCTTTGTCCGGCTCGGTCTTGATTAGCTTGGCCATTTTGGGGCTGAAATTATTATTTTTAAGTTCTTAAAATTTTTAAAAAATAGTGAGTTCAACTGAAAATCGGCCGTTTTCTAAAAACGCTTGAGTTAAGATATATATCGACCGTTTTTAAAAACTCTACGTGTGTAATATGAAAGGGCATAAAACGTTACAATGAAAACATTTTTTGAATACAATGTAAACGCTTTGATAAGCCAGCAATAAGACAATATTTTTGATAAAAAAGCAGTTTTTCAACAAAAAATAACTTAAAAAATACAAAAAAGTCATTTATAATTTAAAATGGCCCTTATTTGTAAGATAAAAACAACTTTTTAGCTAAAAACTTTAGCCACAATTGCAAAAAGTTAAGTTACAAGTAGCAAAACTCGAACCCGCAACCTATTGCGTCGAAGACCAACCGCTTCGCCACTTAGCCACGAAAGCAGAAATAAGACAGGCTTCTTGTTTCGCTCAGAATCTAATAGAAAGATCAAAAAAGGCCGATTTCTTTGATATTTTTAATAATAATATAAAATTTTTCGATCTAGAATTAATTTTTTTATAAAAACTAGTTTTAAAAGGCTTTTACATGCCCTTTCTTCTTATTTAAGTATGAAATACAAAGTAAACACAAAAAGTTAGGCAATTTTTGACAAAAATGTGGACCTAGGCGTGATTTATCAAAATTTGATAAAAATATAATTTTCTTGAATTTAAAAAAAAAATTAAAAAATCAAATTTTTGAACTGAATTCTTAATTTTACATCTCCAAGCCGAGCCAGAAGATAAATATACTTTTTTGAATGTCTACCCTCTCTTTTTCTCTAAAAAACTACCCTCCCTTTTCTCCCCAAAACCTCATCGACAAGACCTCTTCTATCATCTTATATTAACAATATAACCCGCCCAATCCAGCCTTTTTCAATAATAACCGCAAAACTCCTGGAGCACAACGTTGTTCGCCTATTAATCAAGCAAATTAAAGCCTAATCCAACTAACAATGAGAGAGAAAAAACCAAAAACCGCCGGGAAAAAAGGAGAAATTCGTTGGGCCCAAAGGCCCTTTTTTTAGAGGGGGGGGAGACATGGAAGCGCATGAAGAAGACGAATGCCGTCTTTTATTCTTTTCTCTCTTTGCGAGTCTCTCGGCTTCCCCCCGAATGCCGTAGACGGACAACACGGGCTTCACCGCGAAACACTTTGACGCCGCTGGGCATTAATTCTTGAAAAATTGCCAAAATTTTAAATTGTGGCAATTGGACAAAGTTGAAAGTATGGAAATGGTGACATTAAGCTAGGCTTCGCATTTGGCTTGTTTTTTTGAATTGGAACGAAAGTTTTTGCAAATTTGAAACTTGTAAAAAAAGTTCTTGTCTTTTTTGTCTTGTAAAGAAAGTTCTTGTCATTTTAGGTTCAATAAAGAAAGTTCTTGCTATTTTATGCTTTGGAGAGAAAGTTCTTGCCATTTTATCCTTTGGAAAGAAAGTTGTTGCCATTTTTGAAGTTGTAAAGAAAGTTCTTAATTCTGTGTTCTGTAAAGAAAGTTCTTGCCATTCTTTGTTTTGTAAAGAAAGTTTTTGCCATTTGAATTCTGTTTCTAATGAAAAGAAGGAAAATTAGCTTTGCGCAGCCTGCAGGCGACAACTTATACGATAAACGTCTATTTCTGATTTTAAAAATATTTTTTTAGCTATTTCATGGTTTGTAAAGAAAGTTTTTGCAAATTTAAAAATTTTTGAAAATTTTATTAAATTTTTATAATTATGTACAATAGCCTGAAACTATTACAATATTTAAATATTATTTGCCATTTGGAGGTAAACAATCCATTTCGGTTACAACTTGACCCATGTACATCCAACCACCAGCGCCACATTGTAATGTAATCTGGCCGGTTTCCGTCGCTACGATTGTGAATTCGTTGAACTGAATAAGGTTTTAACATAATTTCAGGAAGAAATGTGAGATTTAAAAAATTTTAAAAATTTGGTTTGTAAAGAAAGTTCTTGCAATTTTCGACCTTGTAAAGAAAGTTTTTGTCTTTTCGAGTTTTGTAAAGGAAATTCTTGTCATTTTGGGTTTTGTAAAGAAAGTTCTTGCAATTTTGAAATTTGTAAAGAAAGTCCTTGCACTTTTTTGAACTTACATAAATGTCTTGATCAGCTGCTGCACAATATAAGGTCAGTTGCTTACAGCCATCAGCATTATCAGTCTCGGCGTTGGTTCGTAGAAACAGATCCAGTCCTGATGTAGGACATGCCATACAACCTAAAACATGTTTAAAAATCAGTCCAGCCCTATCGCCCTAGCCCTGCCTCTACGTCTACCTCTAACCGTACCGTACAACAAATTACTCTGCCTCAGCCCCTTGCTCTAACTACATAATTAAAACATCATATCAACTTACCCATAGGGGTAGGTGGAGTAGGAGCTAGATGATTGACAGTACTAGTGCACGATCCGACAAGCTTGACCACAATCATAATCCATATTGTATTGCAAATGCTAAAGTCCCGTATTAACATGCTAAAACATATATTAAGGAATGTTATCAAGTTGGAATCACTTCAAGTAGCAACATGGCTTTGAACCATTGTGAAATAGAAAAAAAAGTTTTAAAAATTTAAAATCTTTGTTATTATTATTGAACATAGTTTAAACCAAGACAATATATACAGTAAACACACATGAAGTAGTAATTTAAACACCAAAGTGAAAAAGTAAGCAATGACAAATTAAATATGATGTATAACGTAAGAAAATTAAACTAAGACAAACCTGCTCAAAACTACAACAAGCCAAATTCAAGCCTAGTAAATCAAGTTGATCATAGTAATAAAATGAAAGACATATTTAAAATAAAAGATGAGTATATCTAATTGTTAGTACAAGTTAAAGTCGTAACAGCTTGACCATTATAAGTCCATCCATCTGGACCACACATCAACGTCGCTAATCGGTATACCATTTCACCATTAACCTAAATAAGTAAAAAATAGCATTAATATATATGTATCTTCAAAGTCAATTTAAAAAAAACCCACAGGGCCTTTATATAAAAAAATCAGAAAAAAATTTTCAAAAAATGAGTGTACAAGCCAAAAATTTCGTTTCAGTCGAGCGTAAACTAGTCCTAGTGTAAGCTCTACCTCAGCCAAGCCCTATCCTTACACCTTACAATTAGTCGCAAATCTCGCCCCAGTCTTAACCCTACTTTTACCAAGCTCCAGCCCTAGTCCTAGCGCTAGTCATAACCCTAGTTCTCGCCTCAACCCTCGCCATCAATAGATCAAAACACTTTTTCCTTTCGTAAACCTTTTTTGTAAAATAGTTAGAGCTACTGTATGTCTATTTAAAAAAAGTATAATGAGCAGGGCTGGGCGTTGACTTTTGGTTTGGGGGGGGAGGGCGGGGGGTCAAAAAATCCACGAGAGGGAGTACGTTCAATTTTTTTCAAAAATTGTTTCTAGCGGGGATCCCCCCCCCCTCCCCCCATAAACATAAGAAACACGCCGGGCCTGAATGTTAGGACCGGCCCTATCTAACTTTTGCTCAAGGCCGGGCCGGCCCGGCTCATTTCTCATGTCTACCCCCCCCCCTCTCCCCCCCCTCGCGCCCGGCCCTGATAACAAGGTAAAAAATAGAAGAAACAGTAAAAAAACTTACTTCGTATGTAGAAGGACAATAAACAGTCCATACTGGACATTGCGTCTCGTAATCCGTGGTTACTGTAGTTTGAAAGAGATCACCCATTAATTCGTAAGTATCACAAGTATATGGGCATACTAATAATAAAAAGTTTTAGACCTTAAAAATTTCAAATTTTTTTCAAATTAAAAACAGAAAGCCTAAATCAAGCTTCGATTCAATTTTGTTTCAGCCTAGCTTCAGCTTAGCTTGTATCCAGCGGTAGCCTTAGCCCTTAGGCCAGACCTTTTCAAATTAAAAGCACTTACCTAGTGGATCTTGAACTGTTGTTGGTGTGCAAGGTAGAGTGATCGATATTGCGTAGGATAATACAACAGCCCATAGTAACTTCATTGTTTAATTTTGATAGTAGAGTCAAAAAAACTATTTTTAAAAAGTTAAAATTTTTTAAATTAAAAATGAATAGTTACTGTATAAATGGCCCAGCAATTACAGTACAAACTAAAAAAAAAGTTACGGTGTAGTCAAGCACGACGCAGTAAAGGTACAGTGTAGTCAAGTAAGATACAGTAGGGTTACAGTAAAGTAAAATAATCACAGTAATGTAGTAATATAGATAACTAATCAACCCACACAAAGGATACGCCGAGATACTAGACAGAACTATTAAATCCAATCGACCAGTCAAACGACTAAAGTTGCGTATGAATTCGATTTGTAGCGACACTTTGAGGTTAAAAGGTAAAAGTAAGCCCACTCGAAACCGCTTCTTCCGGTATACAACATACGAACCGTAATTGACGCCGTAACACAACATAAACCAAAGTCTATTGTCGTTTCACAATGCCCGATTAATCGCACCGTCTGAGGATGCATTTTTTACGTTCATAATTAAAGGGAAAGTAAAGGTTAGAAGGTCAAAATTGAAAGTCCTTTGAAATGTCTACAAATTTTTGTTATTTGGTCTTGTGCAGCCTGCGGATGACAAGTTATACGATAAGTAGCGTATTTTGTATTGGAAAGAAAGTTTTTGCCATTTTTTGTCTTGTAAAGAAAGTTTTTGCCATTTTTTATTTTGCACCAAAGAATTTACTAAAAAATTTAAAAAAAACAGCAAGAAAATGCTCAACGTTATACCTAAAAGTCTTTACTCTCAAATACCACAACATAATACAGAGTAGTTAAAACCTGAAGTAAATATTTATCGTTCACTAGAATGACTTTCATTGGACACGATCAGGTCATTGATCAGCTTTTGTTCCTCTCGCTCTTCTCGTTGCATGGCTTTTGTGAGTCGTTTCTCTTCTTCCGCCTCCTTCATCTTCTTCTTACTGTCCTTCATGGCCCTTTTAATGTACTTTTTGTGCTTCCGTTCTATCACTTTTTCATCATGATACATGCACATCTCCACTTTCTGGAAATGAAAACTTGCTGTAAAGAAAGTTCTTGCCATATTGTGTTTCGAAAAGAAAGTTCTTGCAATCTTTTGTTTTGTGAAGAAAGTTTTTGCAATTTTATAATTTGTAAAGAAAGTTCTTGTCATTTCATGCTTTGTAAAGAAAGTTCATGTCATTTTATAATTTGTAAAAAAAGTTCATGCCATTTTTTGTTTTGTAAAGAAAGTTCTTGCCATTTTATGTTTTGTAAAGAAAGTTTTTGCCATTCCTATACAAAATAATCAAATTTAGCCTTGTGCAGCTTGCAGGTGCCAAGTTAGACGAAAATCTACTAATTTTATCAAAAAACTTCTTGCCGTTTTTGTATAAAGAAAGTTTCTGCCGTCTTTATACTTGTAAAGAAAGCTTCTGCCATTAAAATGAAAAAGCAGTGAAACCCACGACTTTCTGTCCACTCCTCTTCTCCTTTTCTTCAGCGGTCAATGATGACAAATAATTTAAAAAATCGAACGGTTTTCCTTTATCCGGCTTCTTCCAACACTCAACTTCGACAAACTTTATGATAATATTCTGAGGATGACTGGCTACGTATCGGTTGAAATGAAAGGAGACGAACGAAATACCAACAGAGCTTACTAGGCTTAACACTATTGCAATCAACAGGAAAATTCTGAAAAATGAAGGTTTCGTGTTGTAAAGAAAGTCCTTGCCATTTTTGCTTTGTAAAGAAAGTTTTTGCCATTTTCAATTTTGTAAAAAAAGTTCTTGCCATGTCAACCTTTGTAAAGAAACTTTTTGCCATTTTTAATTTTGTAAAGAAAGTTCTTGCCAGTTTATAGTTTGCAAAAAAAAGTTCTTGCCGTTTTATGTTTTGTACAGAAAGTTTCTGCAACTTTACGATGTTAGTAAACGTACGTATACGATCTTAATCCATCTTTGGTAAACCAGCTATCCCAGAAATCTATTTGAAGTAGGTCCGTAGTAAAATCAGTATTATTTGGACTCATACGGCCGGTTATAAAGTAACAGAAATTATAAAATGGATTTTTTAATATATTTTTCAAATTAAAATTAATTTTTTATCTTTTTTAAAAATTTTTGTTTTGGATTTTAAGTATTTTTATGTTGGAAAAAAAGTTCTCGCCATTTTCAACTTTGTAAAGAAAGTTCTTGCCATTTTATTTTTTGCAAAGAAAGTAATTACCATTTTCACCTTCTAATAAAATTTTTTACGTTAAAAGTGCAAGTATCTATAAAGTGCACTTATGACAAATCAAGCTATAAAAGTCGCAATTTATGACGATTTTGAAAAATTTACAGCGCATACCATCTGACACCTTGCTTCTGTCGCAAAAGAGCACCGACCGACTGCAAAACCCTCTCGTTTTTTACACTTTCAATCATAAAGTAGCGCACGTCGTTACTAATGACCACAAAGGTTGTTAGACTGTAAATTAAAAATTTTTGGCAGACTGTAAATTTAAAACTACTGACTGACTTGAAGTTGAAGTCATAGCAGACTTTAAATACAACGTTTGTTAGAAGACTTTAAATTCAAAATTTTTAGTCAGCAATAATTTCAAAATTTTAAAATTTATTAAACTTTGAAAAAACATCCTTTTCATTTTTGAAATAACACGGTTTAACAAACATAGGACAAAGTTCAGTTTTATGAACAAAGAAAAAGCAGAAAGAAACCTAAAAAAGCCAATAAGTCAATGTTGACATTTAGTCTTTTGACACTTTGTTTCAAAACTAAATTTTATTTTTCGCTTTTTTGGAAAACATTTTGTAAATCGTCCAACCTTTTTTCCCGCTATACCTGAACAAATCTTTACGTAAATGTTGGAACAATGCTAATAACTTTCAAAAAAGTTTTTGATATACCGTCATCTCTATTGGCTTTCTTTCATTGCTAAGACTGCTGGATTTGCGAAGAAAATTACGAATCTGAGTACCTGCAAACAGAAGGTGAATATTCATCGTCTTATAGACTTTATTAACTCATATCCATACTAGATAATCTAATAGAGAGACAAATATGTACGACAATGTGTGTCATCGATGAATTAACACTTGAGGCAACATGGAATTGAAGATATAGTGAAGACCTGTAAACAAGTGATTGATATTTGAACTTTTACTTTGTTGTTGGTGTTGTTGTAGGTTTGCTGTCAATAAACTATAACATGTTTTCTATGTTTTTAATTAATGCTTGCATCAGAATTGATCTTTCTAATTAATAAAGTAAACAACATAGCGTATATTATTGAAAATTCAAATTGATCTGTAACTTGTTTTATAAATTAAAATTTTTAATTTATAAAAAAACTTATAAAAACAAAGAACTTCTGAAGCCCATAAAACTTTATTATCACTAAAAAATAGTCGACCGTATCACTGTAATATAAGGCGTTGCAAAGACCTTTAAACTTTCGCAAACATAGCCACCCAACAATGAATGGGTTATTTTTTCGCGGAAGAAGGAGCCGGCTCGTACAGCCGGGTGCCGATGACCTTGACTCAGTTCTTTTTATATTAACTGTGCCGTCGTCGTACATCGTTCCATCTAATCATAACAGATTGTGGGTTGCGTCACAATTGTGGATTGTGGCGGAGAATCATTTCGGATTCGATTTCTTACTAGTTTTCGATTCTGGCTTTATTCTTACGGTTCTTTACATCTTTTTTAAATTTTTTGAAGACTACGTTGTCTTGTGAGTACCTAACCGTGGTATAGTGCTTCAGAATTTTATTTTGTGTTTTTTCATTGGTATATAGCCATGAATCGTTGGCTTCTAGGCCTTGTTCTTCTAGTTAATATAAGCTGTAATGCTTCTTCAAAACGTAAGTCTACTATGTTTTCAAATTTACTAAGTAAATTTAAGTAAAAAATACTCCAGCTGAAGTTTCTTCTAATAACATCCCTTTATGGCTTCATTGTGGCTGTATTGTTACTTGCCGTTCCCTCTTTGTACTAGCCTTACTTTGTTTTAGCCACAGTCCTTGGTGTAGTGAACCGAAAACGTTCTCCATCAGCCCCAGTAAGCCCTTTAAAGCTTACCACAGTAGAAACTGTCTGCAAATCCTCCGGAATCTCAGTTCATCTACGTACTGAGCACAAATTTACTGGTCATGTTACAACCCTTCTTGACCCAGTACTATTCCGTCATCAGTACAATAATGTTGATGAGATACGTTATCATCTATGTCATTTCCAACCATTCGATGGTGGAGAACAGTTTGGTCTGAGATCAAACGATGACCCTAATGGGCTTCAAAGCGATGGAACGTTCACTAGACTAATGCATGATGTTGATGTATTACCAGACATGAGGACCAAAGATATGGATGGACAAGTGAATGTACCTGTTTGTGATCTGTATTTGGAGAAGGGAAGCGGTGAGAAAATAAGAAATAAATTTAAAAATTAAAAAAAATTAAAAAATTTCTAAAAATCCCAAATTATTAAAAAAATCATCAACAATGTTCCAGAATTCGGCAACGTAGTAGTACCAGGAGCATACCGTGCCCAAGTAGTACTACAAGCTCACGGAATTCACGCACCAGAAATAGTGACACATCAAGATCAAATCATTCAAGTTTCTTGTGATTATACCGAGTTTTTGAGGAAACACTACTTCAACACGACTGATCGATTCATTCCCGAAGCCTTCATTGGCGGATTAACCACTGTTTTCCCTAATGCGGTAAGGGGTTTCAGATATTTTTATTAGATTTTTTAAGTAATTCTGTGCCCCGTAACCTCAAAAACTTGCTTTGACATGGAGCACAGAATTAAATGAACAACGTAATAGATACAAGAACGGTAGTTTTGAGCATGAACTGGCTGCTTTTTAGGTTTTTAGTAAGCCTAGTTTAGGTATACCATTTTTTTCATTTTTAAAAATATTTTAAAATTAAAAAAAAAGTTCGCTTTGTAAAGAAAGTAATTGCCCTTTTCAATTTCCAAATATGGTTTTAGCCTTTTTTAAAATTGAATTTCAGGAACAAGGAGAGCAAATAGAAATGGGAGAAAAGAAGGTAATGGCTCATGTAGATGATTTAGCCGAAGCTCGGTTTGAACTGTTACCACCAGTAGAAGAGTATGATTTTGTGATTACCAAATTGACAACCAGCTCATTCTGTGACAACTTAGAAATTATCAGAGAAGGGTGAGTTTTAAAGTAAAACTATTAGGTTGTTCAAATAATTCTGCGCCTCCAAACCCAAAATTGTTTTGAAAGAGGGCACAGAATTATTTGAGCAATCTAATACATACGGATTAAAAAAATTTTTTAAATCAAAAATTTTTGTTAAAAATGCCATTTTAGATGTCCCGTCTCAAACCTCAGCAACATTGCCTATGTTGGAGAGGTGAACACGGTTACGAGAACAGTAAAAACCTTTAACCTTCTTCCAATGGATTTTTTATGTGATACCAAAAATGGAATAGCCGTACATTATGAATATGTTGTCTGTAAAGGAAGTTGCCATCGGCCAGTTTGTCCTTCCAATGACAAAGAAGACGAAGTTGAACAGAAACGTAAGATATTAATATAATAATAATATACGAGAAATAGCATTTAAAAAATTTTTTTTGGGAAATAGCAAGAATTTACTTTACAAAAGATAAGATGGCAAGAACTTTCTTTACAAAAGATAAGATGGCAAGAACTTTCTTTACAAAACAAAAAATAGCAAAACATTTCTTTACAAAGCTAAAACCATACCTAATTTAACCAAAATTTCAAAACTTTTAGCCGAAATCAAGTTGTCAATTCGAAAAACCTCCCAAATCCAAGCCACACAACCAGAAGTTAAAATATCGCCGGAGGACATTGAGGCAGTTTGTCGCAGCGACGGAATTCAAATAAATTTCAAAACTCAAAAGCCATTTTATGGTCAAATTCATCTGGTCGATTATTATGAGACTTGTAACATGGACGTCATGAATCAGACCGAATTCGAGTTTAACTTGGGCAAATTTGGCAGGAAACGGCCGTTTGGCGACAAAATGACAGACGACGACTTTGGTGATACTGGAAACTGTAGCTTACGGTAGGCTGATTTCAAAATTAAGAATAATATGAGTTAAAAGACAAGGATTCCCGTATTTTACTTTTAAATGATCCATAAAAATGTTTTCCATCATATAACTTGTCCCCTGCAGGCTGCACACAACTAATTTTACTTGTTTTGTATAAAAAAGAAGTAACTTTGTTTACAAAGGCTGACATGGCAAAAACTTTCTTTACAAAGAAAAAATTGCAAGAACTTTCTTTACAAGGGCTAACATGACAAAAACTTCTCATAAAAAGGCTAAACTAGTAAAAACTTTTATTTATAACTTGTCACCTGCAGGCTGCACACAGCTAATTTAGACTTGTTTTGTATAAAAAAAGAAGTAACTTTCTTTACAAACTCATAAAACAACAAAAATTTAAAAAACCCGAAGGAATTTTCTTTCCAAACAAAAAAATATAAAAAAACGTCAAAAATTTCCTTTACAACCCAACTTTTCAGTTGGTCCCTCGGAGATGTGCCATTCTTTTCCGGCCAAATCCTGATTTCCCAGAACAAACTCAAAATGCCAGAACTCATCACATCGATGGATCAGGTCTTCAAGTTCGCTTGTGATTACTCAGAATCGGCCAAACGGAAGTCCTTTAATCAAAGGAATGGCTTAGGGCGGATCACGCAACTCTTCCCCACCAATAGCCGAAATCAATCTCCATTTTCACAATTAATGGCCGATTTTAATGGAGAGTTGAGTGTTGATTTGGACGAAATTGTCGAATTGAACTTTGAAATGGTCGAGACTACGCCAGAATATCAAGACTTTTACATTAAGGAGTGTACGATTGGGAGAATGAGTCGATTAAGATATGTTGAGCATGGGTAAGATGGAGTTTTACATGGACAGTGAAAAATATTAGCATAAGCTAAGACTTGAACATAATAGGCTCAGTAGAAATGCTGACTTTACAAATTTAAAAATTGCAAGAACTTTCTTTACAATACCGGAAATGGCAAAAACTTTCTTTACAAACCAAAAAATAGCAAGAACTTTGTTTACAAACCAAAAAATGGCGAGAACTTTCTTTACACATCATTTAATTGCAAGAACTTTCTTTACAGACCATAAAATTACAAAAATTTTCTTTACAAACTAAAAAACAGCAATAACTTTACCTACGACCCCTCTTTTCAGCTGTGTCACCCCAGCTTTCGAGAACAAGTTGATTCACGGTGAAATCGATAGTCAATACAAACGCCAACGTTCCTTCAAAATGCAACCGTTCCTATTCATGGACGAATCGGATCACAGCGCATTAGACGTGGAATGTTCATTTGAATATTGTGTTGGTGCTTGCGAACAGCCCGACTGTGCGGCTATGGCGGAAGAGGAGAAAGAGGCGGAGAGACGTAAGGTTTTAAACTTTGAAAAAAAAATTAAAATTTCAAAAAAAAATTCAATTTCAAGTTTTAAAATTTTTAAAAATCCCCTTTTTCAGCCACAGTAACCATCAATGTGAACAAAGTAAGTGTACCAAAGGAAGAGTCAGTAGCACCAATTATCCCAGTCCACTATATCCAAACCTTATGTACAAGCAATGGAATTCACGTTGAAGTTCGAAACCGTGAAGCCTTTAGCGGTCGATTTTACGCTATGCGACGCGCTTCTGAATGTTATCAACACTCGGAACACAGCGGAGTGATCAACATGTATTTGGGTAAGATTTTATGCCTTTGGCTTTCAAAAACGGCCTATTATATCTCAAAATGATCAAAACAGAGCTATTCATATCTTAAAAAATCGAGAAAAGGATCGGTAATATAGTGAAATTGCAACAAAAAGTGAAAAAAATCGAAATTAATACCTAAAACACACCAAAATCAACAAAAATACTTTAAAATGTCATGAATAATATAATTGATGTAAAAAAAATTAAAAAAAACCCAAATATGAATTATAAAACTACAAAAAACCCCAACTATAAAGATACAAGTAACATTTCACTCAAAAATTGCCGGAAAACCCAAATCAGTTCGGCAGAAAGCCACATTTTTGGCAATTTCGTTTTCGTCGCGGGACTTGAACAAATAGTAAATGTAAAGAAAAATATAGATTTTGATTAGAGGTGAGAAACGGGCCGAGATTTGGGCCCTCTCGGGCCTGAGCAGGCCCGTTTTTTGAAAAATTTTTTCCCGCGCTTTTTTTCTACTGTTCGAATTGGTCTGAAACTTTTTCTACCCCTATGTTTTGAATGGTCCTAACTACTATAAATGACCTTAAAATTTTGATATCTCTTATCGTTTTTGAGATATGGACTTGGCGGGAAAAAAATATTCAAAAAACGGGCCCGATCGGGCCCAAGGCCCGGCCCGTTTCTCACCTCTAATTTTGATGGCAATTTACAACTTTTTAGATACTTTTAAATTTATTATATTTGTGAAATGCGTATTTTATCATTTTATCTTAATAATCTTGTCTTCAAAAGTAAAAAATGTAAAAAATATTTTTTTTTAAATAGTTTTTTTTTCAGGCCTGCCCCAAAACTACTCCCATCGTGTAGAACAACCAGACTGTGACATCCGTGAATTCGAAAACAATACGTTAGGACAATTTTTGATTTTCGAGCCAGATAACAGTAAATTGGATGGGCTATTGACGCCATTGGACCGAATTTACTGGATCAAGTGTAATTACAGTGGATTTGTGAATGAAGACAAGAATGGCGTCAAATCCGTTGAGGAACACACTGAACCGTTTTTTGGTAAGTTTAGGGTAGTGTAAAATTGAAGAGTGATGATATTGTGGGGTAGGGTAAAGGAAGGTAGGTTAGGGTAACGTAAGCTAAGGTAAGGTAGGGTCGGTTAAGGTATAGGATAGAGTAGGGTATGGAATGATCCAAGGCAGGGCATGGTAATCAAACTAAAAAGAGTCGTAAAAAATATAATGAACATATATTTTTAGGTAACACAATCATGGTATACCCAAAAATAGCCGAATCTGGTGAAGCCGACTTTGAAATGACAGAAAATGCATTTGTCAAAGAAACCTTCAACATGGAGTTATTAAATGGCGACAAACTCATTGATGTAGGTTTTTTAATTTGTTTTAACTTTAAAATTTTGTTCAAAGAAAGGTTTTGCCATTTTTTGCTTTGTAAAGAAAGTTTTTGCCATTTTTTATTCTGTAAAGAAAGTTCTTGCCATTTTTTCGTTTGTAAAGAAAGTTTTTGCCATTTTTAAACATTTTTTTTAAATTTCACTATAAAATATTACGTTATCTCATGTTCCAGGTCTACCCAACCGAAGCCCTCCAAATCGAATTCGAAATGGCGCCAAACCCACGATACGAAAACTTCATGGTAACCGACTGTTGGTTCGGCAACGACCACATGCCAAGAGACGAAAAGCTCCAATTGGTCACCCAAGAAGGTTGTCCCAATCCATATTATGTACCATTAATGTCATCGGAACCAATTCATCGTAGCAGTATCGACCGCAAGGTGGTGTTGAACGTGCACGCATTCATGAATCAAAGTCGACTACTCAAACGAGCCTTCGATTTCGATTGTCAGTTATGGTTCTGTGAGAAAGAGTGTCCTGTTCAGGATTGTACCCGGAATGGAGCTGGCTTGTTGCATCCTCTGCACGGTGCAATGGAGTTTTTGAGTGAAATGTTCGAGACATAAGTTTTGAAATGGCATATTAGGAACCTGAATTGTAACATATCTTCCGCTTGTACCAGCGCTTTCTCTTGTCTTTATGGGTATTTTTAAAGTTTTTAAGCTCTTTTATCTACTACAACTTGTAGTCTACAAGTCTAATATTTTATACTCTAGACTGTTTTTTAACATGACATCCAATCTTTTTTGACATCTTTCATAGTAATCATCTAATTATACAGTTTTTTGTATCACCACAGTTATGAAAAAGTGAATATTACAGTGTAATAAACCTAAAAACAGTAGACTGTTATGTCATGAGTATAAAATGTCACCTGAACATGACAAAAATGCGTCATACAACAATATAAATCCGACAGATGCCACAATATATTTATTTTACGCCCAAAGCCCGAAATACGTCATTTAGTCCACTAAACGACAAGTCAATGCAGTATAACATCAGCACTAGTATATCAGGGTCATTAGTAGAAGCTGAACGGTGAAACAAATTGTTATACCTTAAATGGTCCATCTGGTGATTTTGTATATTCACGTAGGCATGATCTGAAAATATTTCCAATTTGTCGTAATTTTAAAATGCATTGTCACCTAAAAATACTAAAAAGCCTTAAATCCATTAATTCTTTCGTATTTTCTTCACCTTGAACAACAAAAATACGAAAAAACCAACGGATGTACCTGAAAAACACCTTCGTTTCCACCAAATATTAATCTACCTATTCAGAACACGTTCATTTCGTTCAATCAAATGCCCCAAGAAAGCCACATCGATCAGTCGTTTCCCCGTTTCCCGGACTGAAATGTGTCGTTCCAACGTGAAATTGCCTTCAGAATCCTGCTTCAAGACGTCTTTAATCTGTAAGTCTTCCATTCGTACCAATAATGCGGCATCTGGATAAATAACATAGGGAAATGGCATGAAACTAGTGGCATCGCTTTGAGAATTCAAGGAATCTGGGGCCCTGTCCTCGATTGGGTCGTAGTAGATTCGGTCTTGTTGTGAAATTTTCTTCTTTCGAGGCTGAAAATGGTGGTTTATATTATTTTAGGTAATAACTATGAATTATATTGTTTTAGACAAAGAGAGATAGCCTGTTTGCACAGTTTATATTATTTTAGGTAAGAATTATGAATAATATTGTTTTAGGCAAAGAGAGTTAGCCTTTTTGCACAGTTTATATTATGTTAGATGAATGAAAAACTATATAAAACAATTTATATTATGTTAGACAAAGAAAAAGGATTGAAAAAAATATTTTCCAGCCAAGAAAAATTATTTTTTCAGTCGAAAAAATATTATTTTTGATAAAACTGACGAAAATTCTTGACTCACTGTGTTTTTCTTGCTTCTCCCTCGATAACTAGGTGAGAAATCTCTTGTTGACATGATCGAAATCTCTTCAGAAACATCGTCGTCTTTTTCTGAAGCCTTTGAATATAATTTTACGTCTTTTGAACCATTTTTTCTGTTGTTTGAAGCAATTTTTCTGTCGTTTGAAGCCAGTTTTCTGTTGTTTGAAGCCATTTTTAAACATTTTGAGTTCTTTTCAGTTGGAACAACGTTCTTTTCTTCACGAATCGTCAGATCTTCATCATTGAAGACTTCGAAGAGAAACCGATTCACTTGGGCCTTGTGCAGCTTTTTATGCTTACAGTGCTGAAACGACAAAATACGTAAGATAATATTTGAAAAAAAAAAATATTTTTCAGTTTTAGATGTTTCTAGGTATACCTATATAATTATGAACTAAAAATGTAATTTTTTAAACTTTTAGTGGAAGCTGAACGGAATTAAAATTTTTTTTTCAGAAGCAAAGTGAAAAAGATATTTAAAAACCTTACCTTATGTTTAGGCTTCTTTGTAGCTTTTTCCTTTTCCATTCTGAACGACAAATTTCGACTAAAATACCACCTACCGCACACTACTGAATACCAAAAAATGAACCAAAAATCAATTTTTTTTAAAAATCTTTAACTGAAAAATATTTCAATTTTTACTTTTTTATTTTGTGAGATTTTTATTACTATTTGAAGTGATTTCAACTTTGTACATACCTTAACGTACGTTTTAGCATGATAACACGGGACTTCAGTATCTGCAATACAATATGGATTATCATTGTGATCAAACTCGTTGGATCGTGCATTAGTACCGTCAATCATCAGTCTCCTACCCCACCCACTCCTATGGGTAAGTTAATATGATATGATATTATAGTTGAATAGAGTAAGGGATAGGGCTAAGGTAAGGTAATTTATGTTATGCTAGGGCTAGAGGTAGCGGTAGGACTAGGTCTAGGGCTACTGCTAGGGCTCATGCTAGGGTTAAGACTAGTGCCAGGGGTAGAGCTAGGTATTTTTCGAGCTACGGACCAATGCTTGGGCTAATGCTAGGGTTAAGGCTAGTGCTAGGGGTAGATCTAGGTATTGTTCGAGCTACGGCTAGAGTACAACTTTTTATCACAACTTGTAAAAAATTTATGTCTAATTTTAAACTCCCTATAACCTTATTCTTCATTAGCTGTCATTAAACCCGTCTCAAGTGATAATTTTTATAGACAGAAGTTTTTTTATCACTGTAAGTCGAAACAAACAAATTAAATTGTACTATAAAACAAACGCATTATTTTTTAACAACTGTGATAACATTTTTACAGTTTTTTGTTGATAAGCAAATAATTGCCTTAGGACTTTTAAGGTTTCTTTTTGTTGTAATCAGAATGGGAAACGTTTTAGTGTTGTGGTAAAGTAATAACAGTTTATTCACAAAGGGTGGGCTTGTGATCTACAGTGATTTTAGATGGATTTTTTGTTGATAAGGAGCTGTTTTTGGGTATTTAAAGGCTGGAGGGGGTTTAAAAAATAATTTAAAAAGCTGGAGGGTCTTTAAAGTAAGTTTAAATGGCCTAAGGGGCTTTAAGTTTAGCTAAAAAAGTTGAAAATTATAGTTGGTTTGAACTTTTTGATATTGAGATAGTACGTTTTACAGTACTTTCAATAAAAAAGCTATGTAAAACAAAGTCTTAGTCAACGTATACCTCTACATTACTAAGTTTAGAGCCTATCTTTGCCAAGCCAATAATCTAGGAATTCATCCTAGCCTAGGATTACTAAACCTAGACAAAAAGTGAATTTTTCAGTTCGAGATTGCTACTTTTGTGACCAATAAAAGTATCGTAAATTGTGTCTATAAATGTTTTACGCTCATGGTTGATACTTATAAAAAGCAAAAAATGGCGTTTTAAACAGTTTTATGACCTTGAGAATGTGACTTCAGTGATACTTAAGGCCAACTTTGATCAAGGTTTGGGGTTAGAGTACGTGATATTGACTATGATTTTAAATGTTGGAGATTGTAGTTGATGTTATTTTAGGTTGTTCAATTAATTCTGTGCTCTTTCTCAGTGCAAATTTTGGGGGGGGAGGTCAGGGGCACAGAATTATGTGAACAAACTAATAGGTAACTCTGATGGTATTCAGTTGCTAGAGACCTCTTGCTGCCACAAAGTACTATGATATACAAGTAGCTTTGTTACAGGGACGTAGCTACTTAGAGGGGGGGGAGGGGGGAGGGTAAATGGATCCCCTCTTAAAACCCAATCCGAAAATTTTTTTTTGGTTTTTACCTTTTTTCCCTCTCCTCTCCTCAAAAAACATATGTAACGAATTCTTCGGTTACTGTATATCTAGTGATAAATCGTTCTCTCTCTTTGATGTTACTCATAAATTTTATCATAGGAACTCTAAAGAATTACATAGTTTATGTTGAAAACATTCACAGTTTCTTTTACTGAGTGCTTTTAGTCCTAATCACCTCACTTTTTTTACGAAAGTGTGCCAATGCTCTTATCAGCATTTTTTGCTGAAAATAACTGTTTTTAATACACTGTAATGTCTTTTAGTTTGCTGATTAAAAGTGCATTGTTTTGTCAGTTGCTCGAATGATTTGCAACATTATTTTGATGTATAAGATGTGTTCAATGCGTCATTTTGAAATTTTAGAAAATAGTTCTTTTAGGAAATGTAGTGATTTTTGATATAGCTGTTATAAGCAACATAAAAAATGTTGTTTTAGTTAATTAATAAGAGCACGTTCAGGGATAGAGAAAGGCTAGGGTAAGATAAGTAAGATTAATTTGAACAAAGAGCAAGGTTAGTGTAGGGTTTACGTGAGCTATTGTAGGGCTTGAACATTGAAAATAACGTCCAGCTAGGGTTGGTGTAAGGGTTTATAAATGCTACTGTACAAGCAGAATAAATGGAAAATGGCTAGGGTAACGAATGAGTACAGAAAAGAGGGTTAAAGCTCAGTTAGAGCTAGGGTAGGGAAGGAAACGATAGGTCAGTGCTAAATTGTGGAAGATAAGGTAGGGTAGGAAATGTCTGTATAATTTTGGTTTGAAATGTAATGTAGTCTTTTGCTATAGCTGTAACGGTTTATAATATGTAGGTATTAATTACAGTGGAACTTCTGTATAACGAATTGCTCGGGGAATTGAAATTTGTTCGTTATAAAGGAGTTTTAAACGCACTGTGTAGTTGTAAACTGGGGTTCAGAAGTTGATTGTTGTACGGGATTTTTGGTATAGAGGAGTTTGTTATACAGGAGTTCCACTGTATAGCTTTTTGCTTGGGTTATGACGGTTCATTTCTACCTGGCGGAGGGGGATGCAAAGGGTTTTTATCTATCTTTTTTATTATATGTTGTTTTTGGAAACGGTATAAAAGTTGATCTTAATGAACTAATCAATTTTTTTCTTATTTTTTGAAGGAGTTATCTGAAAAATGACAGATTTTTTAAGCAATAAGACAGTTTGAAACCATTTGGATCAGCTTGTGTGTTTAAAATGGACGAAAAATATTTTTTATATTGGTTCATTAAACCCAAACTACACCTAAATTCATGCAAAATGTTATATATAAGAAGACTTTTCACCTAAAACATGCAGTGTTTTGCCCGGACAGGTCTGAAGCGTTTTTCGTCGGTTTGGTCCAGAATTTTTAGATCCGGTCCGGTTCGCAAAAAATTTTTTTTATTTTTAAAAAAAGCAAGAAGCACTAAAACTGCTTTTTTTCTTAAAAGCTTTTAAAAATAAATTTTATCTGCAATTTTTAAAACAGTTTCGTTGAAATTTTTAAAAAAATTTCGGACCGGTTCGCAAAAATTTTTGTTGAGTCTGACCGGTTCGGCAAAACAATGACAACATGTTATAAGTTGTCTTGCTTCTGAAATAAAGCTAGTTTTTGTTCTTTCAAAAAATCATTTGCAAAAAATATTTTTTTATGTTGAACTATCATATTACAGATTGCTAACAATGATTAACTTCGTATGATACGTTATGTTGATATTTAACGTTATGTACGTATACATTGTAGAGATGATTAAGTAATGACCCAGAATGATCTTGTTAAATTTAGCTTTGTAGATTACAAAGACACATTAGTAATGCTACTCTTTAAACACAAAAATCTAAAATATTGATCAGCGTCATTTGAAAATGCCTCATTTGCAATTTACAAATGTATATCGGAAGTGTCTTTGTTATATTTAAAAAGCATTTCATAGGCTCATAAATAACGTGGTATTTTTATATTTACATTTCTGTAAGGTTATCAGACATGGACAAATGATTTTTTGTTTTATAATAATTTTTAAAATTTTGATTTACAGTGGACGAAAAGTTACAGTAATCTTCAAAAAAATCAGGGGTAAGAGGTTGATAGGGATACAGTGAAGGTAAGGAGAGTGAGCCATGGTTACCCTAGTTTGGGGCTAGGGTAACCATGGACGTCGTTACGGATTTTCTCTCGAGGGGTGGGTGCAGACCTAAAAAATTTTTTTGGTCTATAGGTCCTACCTGTGGAATTTTTTTCGGATTGGCTCTGGGGGAAATCATCCCGAATCACTCCCCCTCCCCCTCTTTCAACTGACGTCCCTGAGGGTAAACATATAGTTGGCATTTGTAAAGCTTTGGTAGGGCAAAAATATTGTTAGTACAACTATAAGGTATGATTAAGATAGACCGTCGTATGTCAATGTGTGTTTTTATTTTGTAGACATATCTATTTTGCTCTCTGATAATACAGCATGTTGTACTTCCATACCCTCTAAAACAACTTATTTCAATCTACAGAAAGAAATGACAGTCGATCAACCCAACTTCTTCCTTCATCAACTCGACTGTATAGGCAAGGTATTATGGCATTGGCTGATCTCAATGGCCGTCAAAATCACCCCTCTCAGTTGGTGGCCAGAGAAAGAGATCAAAGGCAAAACAGTACTAGTAACAGGAAGTGGCAGAGGGATTGGCAAACACTTAGCTCTCGAATTAGCTAGACGTGGTGCAAAACTAGTACTCTGGTCTCGATCAACTGGTCCATTGGAGCAAACTAAAGCTGAAATCGAAGCTCTGGGTACAGTAGCTCATGCATATACGGTAGATGTTAGCGATCAACAACAAGTTCATGAGACAGCGGAGAAAGTGAAGCAAGAAGTTGGCAATATTGACATTCTGATCAACAATGCTGGTATATGTTGGGCTCATTGTACGGCGACAATGCCGCCAAATGAGTTGGAGACTTTCATGAAAACAAACTTCTTTTCAGTTCATTATGTTAACCATGAGTTCGTGCCAGACATGATTGAAAGAAACAGTGGACATGTTGTGGCTATGTCGAGTGTTAGTGGCATTATTAGCATTCCATTTCAGGTAGGATTATATTCTTGATTTAGATGTGAGAAAAAATGTTATTTTTCGTTTTGTAAAGAAAGTTCTTGCGATTTTAACCGCTGTAAAGCAAGTCTTTGCCATTTTTGGCTTTGTAAAGAAAGTTTTTGCTATTTTTTGTTTTGTAAAGAATGTTTTTGCTATTTTATAATCTGAGACTAATTTTCATAATAAAAGGTGTTTCAGGCCGCTTATGCATCTTCAAAACATGCCATAAATTCATATATGGCTTCACTGCATTCCGAGTTACAAGTTCTTCAAAGCGATGTCAAAGTTACAGTATTAGCACCGTATATTGTTGAGACCGAAATGAGCAGCAACTTTCAGGCTTCAACGTAAGGTTTTTTAATTTGATATTAATGCAACGTATTTTACTATAGTGTAAAGTGTAAAAAACTGTTGGTTTGTTTTGTAAACAAAGATATTGCTGTTTTTTTGTTTTGTAAACAAAGTTATTGCTGTTTCTTGTTATGTGAAGAAAATTACTGGCATGTATCCTATAGAGAGTTCATGATGTTTTTGTTAGTATACCATGTGAGGTATATTAGTTGTGCGGTGAAGAAACAGATAATTTTGCTGAACTATGTTAGATTATGTAAACAGTAAGTCGTGTTAAACATAAATTAGTTGTGTCAAATATAAAATACGACAAAAATACGTAGCATAAAATGTGACAAAATGTCAAAAATCAGTGTAGCAAAGAGTCATAGTTGTGTCATATGCACGTCAGGTTACTGTAAGTCTCCGGCTGTTAAATGTGGAAATTAAACTAAAATATCATACAAATTCTTTTTTCAATATTATAGTTACAGTACGCCGTTCCTGTTGCCGGATTTGAAGACTGATTATGTTGTACAAAGATGTGTTCATGGTATTCTGACAAACGAAACTGAAGTCATTCTGGGACGATTTTGGTACTGGATTTCATGGTTTTTGGCGTAGGTTTTCGATATTGGTACTATGAGGACTATGATCATTCTAAAGATTACTGTAATAGTATTAGTTTTAGGCGGGTAGACTTGAATGATGACTCACTACGTCTGGTCGGGCTGGCTCATATTGGTTCAAGGACTAGGGCCTAAACCAAGGGTGGTCCACGGGACGGATTGCAACATTGTGCCTTGCTCTTTTATAGGCTTAGAGGGGGAGGGGGTGACTTGAGCTAGAAATGAGAGTGAGGAAGTAAAAATGAGAAGAGGAGATGGTTTAGTATGCTAGCTTTCAAATTTTGAATTTTGTTGATAATGAGTTCTATGAGTTTTAGTACCGCTCCATTTATGTCAGCCTACCACTTTATGCGCTTCATTGGCTTAGACGTGATTCTACGACAAATGGTACAAAACCGCATACCCACAATCAATAATAACAAAGCAAAAGCTGCTTAATCTTCCTAACATTAAATAATAATTTTTTTTAAATTTTTTAAAGTATGTACGATTACGGTCTTATAGTATATAATATTCTACATTAGCACGTTAAGATGACTTTTATATAAAATTAATTTAAAAACTTGGTTGTTTTTTATATAACGTTTTAATGTAAGGTAATGTAGTAGAATGTAACAAAGCTAACATTTTTGTATCTTACATACCTAAAAATGTTACAATTGCTTATCATTAGCTTTTAATTTTGTAAGAAATAATAGTTTACACATTTTTTAGTTTTTTATATATAATTTTTATAATTATTTTTTGCCTATTTTCTTACTCATATATATATACAGTGGTTCTTTATATAGTGAACCATTTGTATAAACAACTATCCTTATAGTCAACGAGATATTTGGCCCCGCCAAGTCAATTTGCACTAAAAAATCACTCTGTAAAGGCAACACCCCCTAAACACAAAGTACCGGTCTCTTTGGGGTGCTTATATAGGCAGAATACTGTATTTATAAGTTACCTTTAAAGTTTGTTTTATACCAAGGGTTGGTTCTTCAATAAATTTTTAAAAATATTCGTTATTTGAATAAAAATGAATTAAAAATTACATTAAAAATCAAAACTTATGAAAATACATTCTTGGAATCTTGCAAGCTGGTCAATAGCTTTATCTGCATTTGATTAATTTTTTCCACTAGAAATGAAGTTTGAACTATTTTATACATATTTCTCGACTTTGGATGGTTTTTATATTGAGTTTGAAAATCTATCATTTTTGTTGTTTGTCTCTAATATGCGGTCGTTTTATTTTATTTTCGTTTGGTCGATTCTTGTTGTGATCAATGGAGTTGAAATTCAGGAAGGAGAAATTGAACATTTTCTGGAAATTTTTGTAAAAGAAACTGAGACAAACATTATTACTAGTGCTTATTTTTCAAGTAGGTTTTTTAAAAATTTTTTTTGATTTTATGTTTATTTTCTTATTTTTGATTTAAATATACGTAATAGATACCGATATAAAGAACCCGCCATTTTTTACAGGCAAAGTATGGCGGGTTCTTTATGTCGGCACCAAATGAAACAGATGTTTTAATTGGATTGATTGTATTACAAAATTTCAGCTTACAATGAAACTCTTGGAAGTGAATGCCTAGTATCTGCTGTAGGAAAAGGAACAAAAGAAGAATGGAAAATAACACCATTGGGCGATGCTTTTCAAATCCATTCTTTTGTTAAGTTTAACCCTGATCGTATCACTGTTGCGTCGTCGAACGAATTGTAAGTTTAAAATCTTAAAAGTATTCATATTCGGATACGGAGTTGAATTTTTTGGCCATATGATCTATTTCATTTTACCTTACCACACTTAACTCTACTTTGCTCTACCTAAATTTTTAAGCTACATGGCTAGTTTTATTATAAAATGGTTTTTAGATTACTAAATGGTAGTTTTTTAAACTATTTTATTTTAGAGAAGGGATTCATTCTCAGCAGTATGACCTTAGTTTTCATAACGCGTTTACCTATCGAAATTTGATTTTCGTGGACAATTCGAAGTTCACATGGTCTCAAAAAGTTTTGTCAAAAACTCCCAAGTTGTACGATTTGTGTGACAGAAACGTAACAGCACAATTCGATTCGTACTTTGAAGAAAATTCGACGATGTGCGGCATTGGACAGGAGTGCTTTGGGCCCGACAAAGTAAGTTGAAATTCTGATTATGGTGTTTAGAGGAGGATAAGATGTCTGATGATGGGCTGAGTAAGGCTGGGGTTAGATTTGATAGGGTAGAGTAAGCTTCAGTATGACGATGGTATTATGTTGAGTATGATGATGGTAGAGTATTGAAGGGTAAGGTAATTCAAAAAGTTATTGTTTAATTTTAGCGATGTGGAATCAATCGTGACACTGGTGAAGTAGAAATTATGGATCCGGGAGATCAATACATGTACAAGGCTTTTAATTTTACGATTCCATGGAATTGTGCTACGACATTCTGCACATTTAAAGACACTGAGTAAGTTTTTACCTAAACTCATGTTTTTATTACTGAAAAAGCGTCGGTCTGGTTCATATAGTGGAACTATTGTATAACGAACTCTTCCATGCCGAACTCTTTAACGCACAATTTAAAAGTTTTAAAATTTACGATCGATTCGTTATACAGCAGTTTCAATGTATTGAATTTACTAACATATTTTTTCAGTGGAAATGAATTTGTGATCCCGGAGAAACTGCGCACCTCAAAAAGCTCACCAGCTGGCAAAAGAATCGGTCTTGTGCCATTATTAACTACACAATCAAAAATTATCCGTCGAAAACTAAATTGGCTGGTCGATGACAGTTTCACCCACAAGCCGGCTATGCTAATGTCAATAGGATTTTTTATTGTTTTCTGGGTTTTATAAAGCTGTTTGAATAAAGTTAGGGTATTGTTATAAAGATTTCAAACAAAATTTGTATAAATTATTACCCAAAAATTTTAAAATAATGTGTTTGTTACCTAAAATTATCAAAAAAAGAGATTTTACACAAAATTATCTACATTACTGCCTAAAATTTATATAAACATTTTGTTACCTAAAAATAAAAATTTTACGCAATTTTTAACCATACAAAATAAAAATTACTCCCTAAATTTAAAAGAAAGCGAATTGATTTACCGAAACAAATTCTTTGCACTGTGCAAAACAAATAAATAAACTTTGCACGGTGCAGATTTTCCCCCTTCCAAGATCGAAGAATTTTTTGACAAATTTTGAGCTCCGAAAATCTCAAAAAATTGAGCCATTTTTGTCTTTCTCCAACCTTCTCTACCCACCCTCTGTTGTCGCAACACTCTCTCTTTGTCGCACGTTGACCCTCTCTTTTTGTTGACACTTGCGCAATTTCTTTTCGCACTCCCTTTCTGTCTCTGCCCGTTTCCCTCGATCACACTCTCTTTTTTCTTTCAAAGTGATTGCACCGTGCAAAGCGTTTTTGATTGCACCGTGCAGACCTTTTTTGGCTCCCCAAAATCTCGGATTTTTTCTCTCATCGATTTCCCAAAAAAATCGCAGAATTTCGTCGAATTTTGGGAAGCAATTTTGGGCGACAAAAACTTGGCCTGCACGGTGCAATCCGAAAAGGAGAAGGGCGAGTGAGAGTATGATTTGAGGAAACGGGAAGTGAAAAGGTGGAATTGCGAAAAGTGATTGCGCAACAATGAAAACGAAGGGAGGTTCGGATTGCGACAAAGATAGATTGTTGCGGTAAGAGTGAGTGGTTAGACAATGTTAGAGAAAAACAAAATGACCAGATTTTTTGGATTTTGAGAGCTCCAAATTTGTCGAAAATTATTTTTTTGAAGGTTTGGCTTTCACGGTGCAATCAATAAATTTGGCCTGCACGGTGCAATCAACCGGGAAAGATAGAGAGAGTGCGATTTGAAGAAACGTGAAGTGAAAAGGTGAGATTGTTTACGCAACAATGACTAGCGGACGGCTACGCCGTCCCCTAGATTGCGCTGTTCGTGCGCTTCGACTGTTGTACGCGCGCTTCGGCATTCGTGCGTTTTGTTTACGCAACAATGAAAAGGAAGAGAGGTTCGGTTTGCGACAAAAGAGAGTATGGCGATATGAGAGAATGGTAAGGGAACCTAGAGAAAAACAAAAATGGCCAAATTTTTGGGATTTTGAGAGCTCCAATTTTGTCAAAAATTCTCCGATTTTGGAAAGGAATATTTGGCGGCTGAAATCTGGTTTGCACGCTGCAATCATCAAAAACCTTGATCTGCACGGTGCAACCAATCGGGGAGGAGAGAGAGTGCGCTTTGAAGAGACGAACAGAGAAAGGCAGTAATCGCGAAAAGAGGTTGCGCGACAACGAAAAACAAGATTGTCAGGCTTGCGACAAAGAAAAGATTGTTGCGACGTGATAGGGTGGTTAGACAAGATCAGGAAATGTTCAAATTTTTGAGATTTTGAGAGCTCCAAATTTGTCTAAAATCCTTCGATCTTGGAAAAGGAAATCGTTGCACTGTGCAAGATTTATTTGTAGATTTTTTTGCACGATGCAATCAAAGAGAAAGAAAGAGAGAAAGAAAAGACACCAGTGCACTGTAGAGGAAGATTTAAAATTATTAGGTTGTCCGGAAAGTTCTGCAATATTTATTCACTTTTGAACTAACAATAATAACAATATAATTAACAACTACAATCAATCAAAGTAATTACCGTCTGAATCAATACAGTCTTGCCAACGATTTACAAGCTTTTTTATTCCACGATTGTAGAATTCCGGGTTTCTGGAGTTGATGAAGTTCTTGAAGGCATTCTTGGCATCGTCTGGAATTTTGAAGATTCTTCCATTAAGAAACGAAGACAAGTGTTTAAAAAGGTGAAAGTCCGTTGGAGCCAAGTCTGGAGAATAAGGAGGGTGCTCCAAGACTTCGTATCCCAGTTCCCTGAATTTTGCCACGGTCTTCTTTGCAGCATGGGGCCGTGCGTTATCCTGCAGAATGGTCGGACCCTCCTTCTGACCATTGTTGGAAGATTGTGTCGCAGTTTGTCAATCTGGGCACAGTAGGTGTCGGCCGTAATACTTTGGCCAGGTTTCATGAAATCGTACTGGATCACTCCAGAGCTACACCACCAGACAGTCACCATAAGCTTCTTTTCGTGCAATTCTGGCTTCGGAACTTTTTGACCATACCCATTGCCTTCAAATGATCACCAATGGTACTTTTTCCACAGTTTATTAACTCTTCTAACTCCCGGATTGTAATATGTGGGTCATCTTCAATCTTGCGCCTCAGCGCATCTTTGTCAAGTTTGCTGGGTCTTCCTGCACGTGGTTTGTCTTCAAGCTTCTCATCGTCCACACGAAACTTTGCGAACCATCTGGTCACCGTAGAATAACTCACAACATTCTTACCCACATTTTCGTTTATGATTCTGAAGGTTTCTGCCGCAGTATTTCCGCGTTTGAATTCATTCCATATAATCACGCGCAGGCGAGATTTGTCCATTTTTTTCTAATACCTAAAACAATACAAAAAAATGAAATTAAGTTATGTAACTTACCTTTTTGAATAATTTAGGTAACAAACAAAAAAAGAATTTTTTCTTTCCGTCAAGAAATAAATTTTTCCTGATTTTTCAAAGTTTACCTACTCAAATATTGCAGAACTTTCCGGACAACCTAATATAAAGTTAATAAAATTCTTTTTAGATTTTTTTATACCACTCTTACATTTATAATATAATTCCTACATACTATGTATTGTTTGTTTACCTTTTTATCACAGTAAACAAGTAAAACATGAAATCATATGCATTTTACGTCTTTCTTTAAGGAAAAGACGTGAATTTTGGATCTGACATGATCAATGGGCCGGGTCGGGCATGAACAAAATGAAAACAGGGCCGAGGTTTGGGAAGTCAAGGCCGGGCTTAATTTTTTTTCAATAATTTTTTTTTAATTTTGTAAATAGTTTACTTTCATCCACTAACCAAATCATTTTTTTTAAGCACTGAACTATTCTTGAATTCCCAACATTTCTTTATTTTATACATTTTCGATGGGTTGGAGTTGGCGGTACCTGATTCTTCTAACAAGCGTGCTGGCTCAGAATGAAAGCTATACCAAAGAGACGATTCAACCCGGCGGCATCGAGCATTACTTGGAGTTTTACATCGTGTAGGTTTGCTGAAGATATTGATGTACTTTTAAAACGAGATTGTTTCTTTATAGTTTAGGTATTACATTTTTCAATCTTATTTTTTATTACTTGGCACTTCGCCAGTTTGGGCAGGTGTATAGTTTTTAGAAAAAAAGAAGGGGCGTAGTCCGTGTGGTAAAGTTAACTATTATAATATTGTGTGAAGTGATTTTCTTGGGCATTTAAAGTTTTTTTTCAGAAGAGCAAGTCTGGATTCGACTTCTACGCCGCTCTTACTAGTAGGTTTTTACAATTTTTTGAATTTTCATAACTAAAATTCACTTTAAAAATTAATATTGTAGCTTTCAATGAACCTGTCAATCCAAACAAACTACTCTGGTTAGATAGTTTTTTTCTACCAACACCACCCGAGTATAGGATCAGTTTGTTGGGTGATGCTTATCAAGTTCATTCTTTCGTCCTTAATCATCAGTTCACAAAAATTTTCACGTTTAGTGAATAGTGAGTTTAATACTTCATTTAAGAAACTTTTTTTTATTTTTTAGTGAGAAAACACCTAAACACCTAATTTACAATACTGCGCCGTATGTTTTCACCTACCGTAACCTCATTTTCATTTCGGAAAAGAGTTATGTAGTATCTCAAGAGTATCAGTTAAAAGGGGCAAAGGCAACCCGATATCCTACAGCAGACGTGCAGACTCAGTATCCCGAATACTTTAATCCGAATCAACCGAATATTGGACAAGATATTGTGGACAATTGCGTTACTAAGTTTTTAAGTTACAGTAGGACAAGGTCAAGGCTAAAGCTGTCGCAAGGGCTGGTCTATGATTAAAGTTAGGGCTAAGGTAATGGCTAAGGGGGGTTAGGGCAATAATTTAACCATTTTTTTCTTTGAAACTCAAAAGTTTTAGGATTGCAACATTGACAGAGACGATGGTTCATTGGTTGTGTTCAAAGAAGGCGAATATAGCTACATGTACAAGATCTCTGATTATATTGTACCACGGAGTTGTACCAATGGACCTTGTGTGATTAGAGACGTTAGAAAGTAAGAATTTTTTTACAATTTTTTATTTCTAAAATTTTTTCACTTTTTTGACTGTATTTTGCACCTTTACTACGCTTTTATTTACTATATAGTTTATTCTGGCGTACTGTGCTTTATCATACAGCTACAAATTTACTGTAGCCCACAACAACAGCCACAACCGGGTACTAGACAAATTGATAATTTTTTAATAATGACATTTTCAGACAGATTGACTACGAAATTCCGCATAACTTGACCACTTTTACTGGCCCACCTCCTGGGCAAAGAATTGGAATCATCCCTATCTTGACCACCAAATCCAGAATGATTTTAAAACGTGTTGGATGGAAGTACAATTCAGCTCAAGACGTTATGGCACATTGGACATTTTTCTTCATTTTAGGCTTATTTTTAATTTTGTGATGAAAATAAAGAGATATTAGGAATTGTTAGGACACTTTGTTGTTTAATACTGATATAAGATGATTCTTAACTTTTTGACTTATTTTGCCTTTTTAAAACTTTTGTTATTATATTTTCATAGTAATCTTTTGATTTCAATCGTTCATTCTTCTTGAGTTTAGGCTTATTTTGTGTTTACATAGCACTTTTTGTATAATTTTAGGCTTCTTTTTGCACCTTTATGTTCTCCGATTAATCTCTAGGCTTTTTTCTAAGATTTTGTAGACAAAAATTGATATTCAGATGTAAAAACTTTCTTTACAAAAGACAAAACTTTAATTTTTGGTGCCCAGTAGCATGGCAAGTCAATTAGCTTTTCCAATAGCTCCAACAGTGAGTCCTCATGGTGAAGCACGTTCAACTCGAAACTGTCTGTTTGCAATACCTGTCGTTTTTTCCTACTTTATGCAAATTGTGCTAAAATTTAAAAAAAACAAAAATTGCATTTTATTTTTGAGTTTTTTTTGAAAACTCCACTTTTATTCATTTTGCACATTTGGGATGGCTTGGATTTGGTGGTACCTGATTCTTCTAACAAGTGCGTTAGCCCAGAATGATAGTTATACCACAGAGACGATTCAACCCGGCGATATTGAGCATTACTTGGAGCTTTTTCTTACTGAAAAGTAATTTTTTGAAAGTTTTTTTACTATTTGAAGTTTTAAAATGTTAGACTGCAAATTTGACTATCCAATTTTAAAAATGATCTTACTGAAAACATTATAATTTAGTTTGACTATTTTTTGAAATTTTTAAAACGATTAGGCTTATCACTATGTCGACGATTAGGCTTTTCACTATGTCGAATCTAGTCCTGTTCGCAGGGTAGATGAGAGTTTTGCTGGACCGTCTTTGGTTGGGCAACAAAAGGGGATGGATAAATAATGGAAAAAACTATAGTGTGAATGGAAAGGGGGGGGGGGGTTAAATACTTGGTAAAAGTTGTTGGGGCTAGGTGGAGGGGTGAAGAGAAGAAATAAGGTCAAAAATTCAAAGATTTTTGTTTTTATACAGTGGCGGCAATAAAAAATGGGACACTACGGTCTTGAGTATAACTTTCTTGAAACAAAAAGAGTAAGGCTTAAAATATTTGTGATTTTACAATATTCTTTTTGTCAAAAAAATTGTCAAAACAAATTTTTTACTTTAAAAAGTTACCGTAATTCTACCGTATTCTATAATTCCGAAGTAGGTGCATAAATTTTTTTTAAAAATCGAAGGTGTTTTTATAGAGCATAAAAAGTTGTACAACTTCTGAATGTTTTAATATTGTATCTCTAATGGTAAAAGAGCTACTAATTTTTAAAATTTAAAAAACCTTTGATTTTTCAAGCGGAATCGAACTTTTTTGGTTTTTTGAACATTTTTAAATGCCCATAACTCATGAAAAAAAAACATTTGAAAAATAAAACTTTCTGAAGTAGTACAACTTTTTATGCTCTATAAAACGTGCATCTTTGAATTTGTAAAAAAAATTTATGCACATACATAATTTGGAAGTATAGGGCACGGTAGAATTACTGTAAGTTTTTTGAATTGACAAGAAAATTTTTTTTTGACAAGAAGAATATTGTAAAATTATTAAAATTTTAAGCTTTACTTTTTTAGTTTCAAAAAAGTTATACTCAAAACCGTCGTGTCCCATTTTCTATTGCCGGCACTGTTGGTAGGAAGGTTTCTGTACAGTGTTTTCAAGTTCTTTTTAAGAAAAAGGCATTCCTTATCTTTTGTTCTTTATAATTTTTTTTAGACCTACAAAGCCGAATGTTACTGAACAGATACTTTTTGCCTACTTAACCAGTAAGTGTTTTTATTTTGCTAGCTAGTGTCGGAAGGATAATTTTAGTCAAGGGGATCAACAAAGGAGACCATTGAGACGTGTTTTATATGATTAGCTTTTTTCTAAATATTATTTTTTAGCTTTTAACGAACCGTTAGGCAAAGGAATCACGGTGGATTATCATTATACTCAAAAACAAAAATTTAAGATCAGTTTGTTGGGCGATGCGTATCAAGTTCATTCATTTGTTGTGCTTGATCAAAGCTATGTGAACTTCTTTACATTCAGCCCGTAGTAAGTTTTGAAATTTAAGAACCAGGGTAAGGTAGGGTAGGGAGGAAGGAGTAGGATATTGTGCTTTTAATACTGTACTAATGTTGTTCTTTTCAGTGAACAAGAAAGACGTATGATATTCTCGCCTCCTAATTACTTACCGAAATTTGCTTTCACATACCGTAACCTCATTTTTTATTCACACGACAATTACATCGTGTCACAAGAATATGATAAAAATGGAGTAAACGTAAAGCGTCATAACACGACAGACGTACAGAGCCAGCACTTGAACTACTTTAATCCAGATCAGCCATACATTGGACAAGATATTATAAACAACTGTTTTAATTTGAACTTGACAACAGTAAGTTACAGTAGTAGTTTGAAGGCTTTTTACAGTAATTGCTTTTACTAGATTTTGTTAAATTAAGTTTGTGAAAGTTTTTAAAAATTAAATTTTTTTATTATAGAAATGCAACATTGACAGAGATGATGGTTCATTGGTAGTGTTCAAAGAAGAGGAAGAGAGCTATATGTACAAGATCTTTGACTATGTAGTACCATGGGATTGTGCTAATGGACCATGTGTTATGAGAGACGTCAGAAAGTAAGAATTTATTTTTTACCTGATGTTTTGTTCTGACTGTATTCTAGCTCTAACTCTACCCATACTTCTAGTCTGAGCTCTAGACTTACTTTTAGCTCTAGCCCTGCCTTATTTTTTTCCGTTTTTAAAGTTTTTTTGAAAATTTCAATAACATTTTCAGACAAATCGACTACGAAATCCCACTGAATCTTACCACCTATACCGGCACACCACCACCCCAAAGCAAAAGAATTGGAATCATCCCCATCTTGACCACCGAATCCATAATGATTTTAAAACGTGTCGGATGGAAGTACAATTCAGCTCAAGATGTTATGGCAACTTGGACGTTCTTCTTTATTTTTGGCTTGTTTTTAATTTTTTAATGCCAATTAAAGTATAACGTTAGGACATTTTAAACTATCTTTGAATTATTTTTTTATTCTTTATCATTTATGGCAAAAAATGTGAAAAATTGTATGCATTTCTCAAGGCTAGGCTGATATGGAAAAGAGCGTGAAATTATATGCACTTTTTACGTCTTATTACCGTTATGGAAAAAAACGGTAAATTTTATGCATTTTGGCTTGTTTTCGGGGAACATAGACATGAGGTACGGGCTAGACATTTGAAACGGGTAGGTCCGGCCCGGGCCTAAATTTTTCGGCCCGGCTCATTTTTCAGGCCCGGCCCGATCGGAATTTTGCTCAATGCCGGCCCGTTTCTCATGTCTAGTACGGGCCGGTCCGGGCCCTTGATTTTCAGCATCGGCCCGACTTAAATTTGGGTCAAAACTGGTCCGATAAAAATTTTGCTCAGGCCCGTTTCTCACGTCTAGGAAATTTTTTTTCAGAAATTTTTGTGATAAAAATGAATTTTTTGGGCTGAAAAGCATAAAAAGTTTTTTCTTGTATTACTATAATTTTTTTTATGTATTTTACAATTGTTTATTTTACCGTTTTGTCAGTGCGAGGGTTTATTTAGAAAAAACGTGAAATTATATGCACTTTTCACGCCCTTTATGGAAGAAAAACGAGAAATTTTATGCACTCTTTACGTCTTTTGAAAAGCATTGACAATTTAAATGTCAGGTTCGACTATTTTCGTTATCTTAGGCTTATTTTTTGCTTTATAATTTAAAAATTAGTAGTTTAATGAAACATTGTTATTTTGCTTATTTTTTGGGTCTCAAAAAGAATATTTTATCAATATTATGATAGCTAAACAAAGTTTGTTTTGAATTTATTTTAAAAGTGTAAAAATACCCGTAAGTAGTAAAAAAACCGTTGGTGAGATAGATTTTGTGCCATAATTAGTTGAAAAATGATTTTGATGAGCCATAAACACTGTAGATAAGGTTATATTAGATAGTTAAACTTCTTGAACAGCTTCAGCGAATTTTTCCTTTCTGGTGTTCCGTCGGCTCATCACTACTGATGTGTCATCTCTCCATGTACTTAATTCTGTAATAATTTTTTCTGATCAAAAATTTTAAAACTGGTTTTTGGCTTTCAAGTTAATACTTTGTAAAACTCTAGAATTGACAGGATGTTTTGATATAGATCCTCATTTTTCTAGCTTCTAAAGTTTATAAATATGAAATTTGAACCTTTATTACGCTTTTCCTGTTGCTTAAAATTGAGTTGAAGGTATAACTTCCGGGATTAAAAAAATAAGTACGAATTGCTAGCCCTACTCAAGTCTTACACTAAATTAATCTTAGTCCTAAACCAAACTTGGCTTAAACGTTATCTTACCCTACTTCTTTGCTCTACTTTTACCCTAGCTTTACTCTTGTACTACCTTACTTTATCATAGCCTTACGCTGGCCTTATTATAGTCCTACGAAAGCTTTTCCTTATCCTATCTCTACTATAGGTTCTTATACCCTCTTTATACCCTAGGCTTGTCCTAAAGTTCAATCCTTAATTAATCATGTACTAGTCTTTCCGTAACACTAATTTTTTGAATTTTTATTTGTTGTAGTCTGTCCTTTTACAACTATTTTCTATAAAAAAATCTTATATCTCCGGCCCTCCCTTCCTACACCCGTATCTCTTTTACCCTTCCCATATCTAGGTCCAAAATTACCCCTCCCAATATTACCTAGTCATCACAATCCACTTACCTTTTAACGGATGTTTTGAGCACGAAAACAGCCACAACCTGAGCACACAAATGGCCATACAAATGGACAATGGGATGACGAAGATGATGATTAGCTCTTGTAGCAGATTCATTCTGGAAAAATACATTTTCTGTGTTCTCTTGGCTTCACGGAGCCGCGAAATTCGAAGCCACGGCTTATCAGATCCTATTAAAGTCTGTTTACACTCCAAGGGGACATAACGCGGCCACAAATGTTCATAATGCAATAATATATACACAGCCTTTTATGGCCAAAATGTGACAAAATAAACGTACTTGGGTTCAAAATAGATTTTTATGTGGTTTATGAGCAGGCTTGGACACAGGGCAGGGCATAGGGCATGGTTTGAAATTTTTTTACAGGGCAGGGCAGGGCATAGCTTGGAACAGGGCAGGGCATACCCTATGCCCTGCATTACCCTGTAAATGCCCTGATGCCCTGCAGGGCAAGGGCAGGGCATAAAACCCCAATGTCCTGTACAGGGCAGGGCATTGCAGGGCACAGGGCAGGGCATGGAAATTTGCCAATGCCCTGCCCTGTGTCCAAGCCTGTTTATGAGTTCTAAATATTACATATGTAATAATAAAACGCAAAAATTTTAAATTAGTCAATTCTATGCTAAAAAATCGCCATTTTTTGCTTTGTAAAGAAAGTTCTTGCCATTTTTTGCTTTGTAAAGAAAATTCTTGCAATTTTTAAGTTTGTAAAGAAAGTTATTACAATTTTTTATGCTGTAAAGAAAGTTCTTGCAATTTTTTGTAATGTAAAGAAAGTTCTTGCCATTTTTTTCTTGTAAAGATTTTTTTTGCATTTTTCTTTCAAAAAGAAAAAAAAGTAAAAAAAATTTTAAAAAATAATAAATAATTACCCCCGCCCTTGATTGACAGTACACTTTTAAATAAAAAACCTCCAAAATGCAAGAAAAGACCTATAACAAAGTTAAAGACATAAATTTTTCAAAACAAACAACAGCTGATTTTGGCCAAGCAGTTTTTTAATTAATCTTCTGGCTGATTATTTATTGACGCTTGACAATTCTACAATATACTGCACATATCCTACTAGGGGTGAGAAATTTCGAGTTCAGGACCCAACATTCAAACCAGCCCGGCCAAAAAATCTCTACCCTACCCTACCCTACCCTACCCTACCCTACCCTACCCTACCCTACCCTACCCTACCCTACCTTACCCTACCCTACCCTACCTTACCCTACCCTACCCTACCTTACCCTACCCTACCCTTCTACAAAGAAATGCCAATTATAGTATAGTATCATAGTCATAGTAAATATTTTTCCATACCCTATCTCGCACTCCTTTTCTAAGCGTTCAGAAATCCCTAAAAAGCGTGAAAACAGTCAATCCCAAAGTGTTTTCCGGTAATTGTTTTCCACCAGCTCAAATTAACATAAACGATGGCTAAAGTGAACGAAAAACAATAATATATCTGGCGGGCGTAATCTCATATTTAAAAAAAGTGAGTGAAATACGAGTAGAATCGTTGCTGCAACACAACAACAAAAAAATTCTAACTTTAAATGAAAAATTAAAAAAAATGTACCTAATGCTATAAAATAGAAAAAAAAAATAATTTAAGAATTTGAAAATGTCAAAAGCTTTTTTTTACAAACTCAAAAATGAAAAACAATTTCCTTACCAAAAAATAGTTTTGATATTTTCGTAGACCCAAACCTGTTCGAGAGCCTTGGTTTTATCCATACTCTACCTGATTCTATATGTGCCCTGTGTTACTCTAACAGCGAATACGGCGATCTAGGTCAATATTTCGTGCTGAAATTTTTCTAAAATTTATGAAAAAGGAAGAATTTTGTTTACAAAGCAAAAAATGACATAAAGTTTTTATGTTGGACAAAAAACTAATACTAATTGTAAAATACGTTGTTTGTGAAAAATTCGAGATTTAAAGCAGTACATATATTTAAAAAATTTTAGGTTTACAAAATAAAAATTATTTTTAAACGAACTCTTTGAGTAAATATTATATTATTCATTCATAATCATCCCATTATTCATTAATAAATCTATGCAAAAATGTAATTAATATACCTCCTAATTCTTTACTAGAATTAAATTATTGTTTAAATATTAAAAACAATAGCAAAATATTATAATATCTAAAATATTACAAAATACTATTGAATTTTAAATACTTCTTTACTTTTTTTTGCACAGCAATTTATGTCGTTTCTATAAACTCAATAATAATATATTGCTTAGTACATCAAACACTAAACTTCTATTGTTATATTAAAATATATGTCACTTTATGTCGATATCTTTTTTTGAAGATAACATAACTATTATATATCAAACATTTCAATTTTAAACTAATAAGATAATAAACTACAGTTTGCTTGAGATCAAAAAATGGTGTTTTGAATTTCCCGCCAAGTTGGCATAGTGTTTCAAGCTCGTAACTTTCTTATTTTTTAACTTTCATCTATTTTTATTTCATATAATGATAGAAAAGCTTCAAATAAACCTGCAATTTTAAATTTGTAAGCCTATCTTATCTGGGACATCAAAAAAAGTGCTTGCAACACAATGCCAAATTTGTCAAACTGGTGGGAAATTTAACTATATTAATTTTGAAACTTAAAACCGCAAGCTAATATTTTTTATATGTGCTACTGGTACTACAAAGAAACCGTATAAAAATTATGAGCTAATTCTGAGAGTTGCAGGTTCGGTAATTTCCTTGTAAACCAATACATACCTCCGAAATAAAAAAGACCTTCTCACTTTAAAAATTCCCATACCAAACTACAATAAAAACACAACTTCTGAATTAAAAACACTAGCCTGAAAAATCAAACGTCACCTCTTCCAAAATAGGGCACCCTAGCAAAATAAAACCAAAACCTCCCAGCTTAAAAATATCCTTTTCAACTAAAAAAGCACCCTTCTCAAGATAAAAACTCCTCCCGTCCTAAACACCTTTCCCAAATTAGAAATGAATGAGCGCTCCTAGGTCGGACCAAAGCAACTATGTAAAAATCCGGGCTGGATCGAGTAGGCCGGGCCTAAACATAATAAAAGCCCAAGTGACCAAACCTAGGCCTTACAACGAGTGTCGGGTCCAAACCAAGAAAATTAGGTCGACCAGACCCCTTAACAAGACTGACCTAAATAAAAACACCCTTCTCAACCAAAAAAGCTAACATCAGCCAGCATTGCCTCTTAACCCAAATTTTTCCAAGCCTAGAAAACACTCGAGCAATTTGAAAAGCGGCCTAATCCTTCCTTTAGCGACTCGGCCAAGCGGCGAAGACAAATTAGCCGCACGTCGTAATTGCAAATGAAGATTAAAGCGTCGTTATCCGCTCGTTACACGCATGCATACCCGATGTCAACAGTCTATACACAGTCATTTTTGATACCAACAACCATGTACAATATCGAGTCTGATGAACACAAATGAACCGGGAAGGACATTCACCAAAAAAACGACCGTAAAACGTGCTGATTGAACATTGGTGTACTGAAAAGTACTGATATGTAGTATAATATATTAATATATTGAAAAGTGGTGGCATTGTATACCATTGACTAGGCAAAGCAAAGTATCGAATCTGAAAAAGGTCACTACATCAGAGTTTTAAACCAAAGCAAAATCCTTATAATAACATATACAACGCAGCTTGCATCTTTTGGGCGCAGCTGTTTTCCATCGAATATTATTTTTGTTCTCGGACTTGTTCGAATTTCTTTACCTCTGGGTTTTCAACAAGTTTTTGGAAGTTTTTGTAAATTTTTTAGATAAATATAGAACGTTTTAACTTTATTTTAATATTTCGTAACATAGTTTCGCTGGTTTGATTGACTTTGGCACACAAGACTGTTATAGTAGGTTACGTTGTCTATTTGATGTTATATTACGCGTTATGAGTTCTTAAAATTTTTAATGATTCAAATTAATATTTTGCATGTTTTAGAAAAGAAAATTTACAAAAACACGATGAACCAGCCACTAAAAGCGTTTTTTCTTGAATTATCAGAAATTTGAATAATGCCCTATAAAAGGCATTTTGAGAAATCTTTTATTTCAGCGGTTTCTGTGGTCGGAGGCAGTCGGTATGAATTTGGCAAGCGCGTACGCGGCCATCAGTACCCTGTCCATACTTACGGTGGACGATGGAATGGAACTATGTGTGGATTTCTACCGGTTTAAAGTGGAAGGTCCCACTGCCAAATCATCAAGGCACGTCCATTGTCCAGACAATTCAACCGTCCAGGGGGATGTTGCGTAAGTTGTCTTGGTCAATCTTTTGTTTTTGAATTTTTTCAGCTCGTCTAGTTTTTTGTTAGTTTTTCCCTGCATAATTTTGTGTATGCAAACTTTTTAATTTTAAATTGGTGTTTCAGTGAGTACAAGCTTTACTCGGGTTTGAATTTTACAAAGCATTTCATCATGCCGCAAAATACAGAAGTTGGCACTGTTCTTCACGCTGGTGAGCACTTGGTTGGGTAAGTTTCATATTTGAGACTTTTTTTGTCAATTTGCAAAAATTTTTAGATGATTAAAATTGAGAACTAAGGCAATAATACTGTTACTTTGTAGGCCGGACCCATATGTAGCATTCTCCATGGTATCAGCCGGACGTGACCCAACGTATTTGAAAAGCGCTGACAAACATGGCGACGTACTTCAGATCAGCACTTCCAACGGCCATGTATTCTATCAAGAATGCAAAGATGGTGGAAAGGCTCGGTATATACTAATGTCTGCAAACGTTGTTTTCGAGACTTTGAACCGGAACGACCTTCAAGTCTGCGGCTTGACTTTTGGTCACACCTCAGATGGTCTGATTTGGGAAAGCCAGGGCAAGTGTCGGAAGTTGGTCGTCGAGGGGAAATCTGCCAGTTTGAAACGAGAGGCATGTCCGAAGGTCGAAAAGCTCGTGTTTTCCATGGTAAGTCTTATTCTGAAGGTTTTTTCTTACTTGATCTGTAAAAGAGTTTAAGCTATATTTTGAAATTTCTAGTTGGGTAAATTAAAATGCTCTTCAGGCTGTCTTAGGATCAGATGGTTTATAAAATTTTGAATTTTAGGCCGCTTTGAAGAACCGTGCTCCATCGACGAAAGGTGAACTGCCTGACGCTGAAGTTGACACAACATTGGCTGTGCTTTACCTGAAGTAAGTTTTCTACAATTTATTTTACTTTATATTTTTTGAAGATTTTTTAGAGATTTTATGAAAAACTTTTTATGTTTTTACCTAGTTTTTGCATTCGGAATTAGTTTTATATTTTAGTGTCAAACTGTTAAGACTGGAACCGGTTTAAAACATTTTTTTTTAGGCCTAAGCCAGTTACCACCACCACCACGCCAGAGCCTACCACTGAGATCGCCGAAACGGCTGTTTCTAATTCAACCACTGAAGGATCAGAGTAAGTGTTTATGGCATTCTTTGGTCTATGTTTTGAAAAGTTCACGCTAAGACGGAGTAGTTAACTGTTTTTTAAAATTTTTATGATTTAATAAAATGAAACTAGCCAATATAAACTTTTTGTCATGAATTAAACATTTAAGTTTAGTTTTACTCTGACATTTGTGTTTCAGCACCTCCACCGTATCTGTAGATCCTTGGATGATTGGTCTCATTTGCGTTGTTGTTGGAATCTCCATCGGAATCGTGGTTGCACTTGTAGTGTTTTACAAGATGAAGGGCAAGAGGACTCACAAAAAGAGCAAGAAAAGAAAGAAGAAAACTTCGAACACATCGTCGGACACATCGTCAAACATCAAGTCCAACATATCGAACATAACATCGAACACACCAGCGGACACCAAATCGAACATACCAGCACAGAGCCCAACGCCGAAGGAAGAACCGAAGAAGGGCAAAGTAATTGTCATAGGCAAGAGACTTGTTCCAGAAACAGTTGACGCAAATGGGAATGTTATCCCTGCTCATTATATAGTAACAGGATTCAGGGTAGAGTTTGCTGACTCTCCGTCTAAAACCCCGTCCGAAAGATCCCGACGTGTCTAAACGACCGCAGAACCGACTGATTTGCTATTTAATGATCAATATCGACTGGTCAATAAATATTTGAACTGATTTTTGCTTGTTTATCTTTTAGCAGTGTTTTGTACGGTTTTAAATTTTCTATATTGATATTACGATTGTGTTTTCTATATTGATATTACAATTGTGTTTGATACATTGATATTACAATTGTAAAATGTTGTAGCCACTGGTGATGGTGTAGACCTTCATCTAGGTTTGCCATACTCGTGCATCTGTTGTTTCTGCCCAGTTTGTTTCGATCCGCCTTTTTAAATGGAGAGCGTGGCGGGCTACCCTGTTTTATGGGCGGTTTAAAATGGTTTTGGTACTGAAATTAGCATAATGGTACTATGTGTTTGGTTTGACTTTTTGATACTAGTTGTTGCGATTCGTTTACCGTTTCAAAGTTTGCGAAGTGTCGCAAAATCGCGTTTTACTTCGATTTGACGTGCGGTACCAATTTAAACTTTAATACCATCTGGTACCAAAAAATATGAAAAGCGTACCAATTTAAACTTTAGTATTATTTAGTACTATACTACAGCTAAATTGACTAAAAATTTAAAAAACAATTTTAAAAAATTCACAAGTCCAAAAACCGCATTTTATTTTCGATAGCTCTGGCATCCAACCAATTCGCAAAAACCGAAAAATTTGCAATAAAATTAGGTAAAATTTAATAAATTTTTCAAATTTTCGCTTGAATTCTCAGGGCCCGATTTCACGTCAAATTCGTTTTCAAATTCATTTTCAAATTCAAATTTGGGTATAAAAGAGAGTGACTCACAATGTTAGAGCTCATTCAGAGCCAATTTTGCATATCCCGAGAGGTTGGGTTACTGCCAAAACTATGGTGTAACAAGTTATTTATGCCTTCTACATCTTAGTTTTGGTTGTTTTTTAAAGTTTTAAATTATATTTGTTATCTTGTTATAGTAGGTATCAATTTTATGCTTTTTAGACTTAAAATAATGACATTTTTAGGTAGAAACTGTAAGTTTTATATAAAGTTTGTGTCATTGATTAATTTGATTTTTCAGAGTAGGAAAGGTACGTTTCTTTATATAATTTTATAATATTACCAATAATTTATAAAATTTGAGAGGTTCATACCTATAAGGTTTAGTATTTGTATTATTAATTTGATTTTTCAGGGAATAAAGTTATGTTTCTTTATATAATTTTACCATTTTTGATATTATATTGTGACAGTGAAAAGCGATCAAGGAAGCTTTGTGTATTCCGAGTTATTTTGTCGAATGATTCCTATTAGTGTAAAGTTTACATTTTATTTTTTTTATTTTTAGGCAGCTTTGGATATTATTCATGATCTATAAGTTAGATTGATGTTAAACTAATATTTCTTCAGCTGATTCTTTAAAACCATACAAGCTGTTAAACCAACAGCTTCTTCCAATTCTGCTCAGATTTATATTGATTTAGGTAATAACTATATTCTGTGATGGTCTTTGATGTTGAGTAGCTTTCAGAAGGTTAAGAAGAGTAATATATTAATTATTTTAAACTAAGTTATACATAGGATATATTATAGTATATATTTATATGTATACGGTCATATACACCTTTACATCTACATATATAGGTAACATACAAACATATGCCCAAGATAAAGGAATGTATTTAATTTAGTTTTTAAACTACAATTTTTAAAAATTAGTGTAAAACATATCAATATAAAAAATTCAAAACAAGGCATTTTTGCCAAAAAAATGAGTAAAGATCTCAAATTTCAACTTTATCCATGCCACCTGTCGCAATCGAATAAATAAAACACCTTTTATGACTTTTAAAAAACTTTTAACGTCCAAGAAACATAGAAAAAAATCTTAAAGTCTCTAACACACATTTTGTATAAAAAACGTAAACATGAGGGCCGTTAATTATTTCACAGAAGCTGTGTTGCAAGGTTTGAGAGGAGGAATCGGATGGCCACAATCTGATGAAGAAGCGAAATTAATTGGACAAAAATTTGCGATAAAAGGGGGAAACCGTTTCTTCGCGGGAGCTGTTGATGGTACACTTATTGAAGTTGTTGCTCCGTTACAAAGTCGGCTGACATTTGTGTAAGATTATTTTACATGAAAGTTTAAGAATAGGTATATATCTGAAATTTGGTTTTAAATCTCAAAGGTAAAATACTAAAACAATTTCTTCAGGACACGCCATCATACAACATGTATCAACGCTGTTATTGTTGCTGATACCGACATGGTAATTCGGTACTTTTGGGCCGGTGCAGGTGGATCCAAACATGACGATGCTGTACTAAGAATATCGTCGTTACAAAGAGCATTTGATGCAGGTTTTCGACCTTTTCCTGGGGCAGTACTGATTGCCGATTCTGGGTATGGTGATAGATCGTGGTTGCTAGCGTACCGTCAGAACCATCCTCCAGCTTACGAAAATTTGTACCAGTAAGATTATTAAATTAAGATGATAAGCAGAGTCGCTACGATTTATTTAGGGGAATTCTGCAAACACGATATGTGGTTGAAACAACTATTGGCCTTCTGAAAACACGTTTCCAAGTCCTAGGGCCGGCCGGCCATATTCGTCGATATGGCCCTGTAAAGAGCTGTAGCATCGCCAATAGTTGCGCTTTACTACACAATTTTATAATGACGACAAAGCACCTGCTAAGCGACGAGGAAAACGTAAATGATATGAATTTCTAATTTTTTAGTATGTATATCCGATAGAGAACGGTATTGTGAAAATAAACAAATATATATATAATATATCCTATGTATAGCTTAATTTAACATAATTAATATAATACTCTTCTTAATCTTCTGAAAGCTACTCAACATCAAAGACCAAGAATATAGTTATTACCTAAATCAATAGAAATCAGAGCAGAACCGTTGGTTTAACAGCTTGTGATGGTGCCATTGCATGTTGGGATCCGCTCTTTTAGGTAATACTTTACCTGTTTTTCCTCGTTTGGAGCCGCTGCTATCGCTCTATCACAATATTTTCTAAGAATCAAATAATTACAAGCCTAATTATACATTGATACACAATGATATATATAATTATATAAAGAACCTTTTCACTGTCACAATATAATATCAAAAATGGTAAAATTATATAAAGAAACATACCTTTATTCCCTGAAAAATCAAATTAATAATACAAATACTAAACCTTATAGGTATGAACCTTTCAAATTTTATAAATTATTGGTAATATTATAAAATTATATAAAGAAACGTACCTTTCCTACTCTGAAAAATCAAATTAATCAATGACACAAACTTTATATAAAACTTACAGTTTCTACCTAAAAATGTTATTATTTTAAGTCTAAAAAGCATAAAATTGATACCTACTATAACAAGATAACAAATATGATTTAAAACTTTAAAAAACAACCAAAACTAAGATGTAGAAGGCATAAATAACTTGTTACACCATAGTTTTGGCAGTAAATCAAAGCCAAACCCAACCAAACATGAAAAATAACTTTAGAAAATAAAACAGAGCCAATGTTACCACCCAACCTCTCGGGATATGCAAAATTGGCTCTGAATGAGCTCTAACATTGTGAGTCACTCTCTTTTATACCCAAATTTGAATTTGAAAATGAATTTGAAAACGAATTTGACGTGAAATCGGGCCCAGGAATTTAAATCAAATTTTGCATTTGCTTTGAACTTTAAAATTTGAATAAGCCAGCCCTATAAAAGGCGTGGAGATTTGAGAAATCCTTAATTTCAGCGTTTTCTGAGGTCGGAGGCAGTCTTTCCTTTCGAACTTCCGCAACTATGGCTCGCCATCGTTCATCGCGCTCATCGCACTCAAGCAAGTCTGTCGACAACGACAAGAACGTCAAGTGCGCGCCCTATGGCAAAGAACTGCCGAAGGAGATGATCGAGGAGGTCAACGTCGAGTTTCAAGTGGCTCCGGGCCAAAGTGTAAGTTTAAAATTTGATTTTTTTTAAATTTTGGGCTGATACAGAGCTGGAGCTTGAATGGGTGAGACTAAAATTAAATTCATTTTTGTTTTAGTGTGGCGTCAACCTCAACTCCAAGACAATGGTTGTGACCAAACTGGAAATGGAAGGTGCTGGCGTTACCAAGATCGAGTTCGGCGACGTTCTTCAGACGTTGAACGGCGAAAGCTTGTGGAAGGGCTCTAAGGCCAACTTCAACAAGTTCCAGAGCTTGTACAAGAAGCTGGCAGCCAAAGGATCCACTGTAAGTTTTCTTTGTAAATTTTTTTAAAAATTTTTTTATAAGACTAAAATGTGATTTTAGTGCAAGATCACGTTGCTCCGACCGGTCAACGTCCTTCCTCTGGACACCAAGCGTCTTCCGATGGACCAGCGGCAGGCAGGCTACTCGTACAAGTTGGCCGTTCTGTACAAGATCGAGAAACGGCCATTGGGTCTCCAGCTTGTACCTGGGAACAATAGGTTCTACGTGTTGAACGTCCACGAGTTTACGTGCGCCGCTCGTTGCGTGGAACAGGGCGACGCCATTCTCGACGCGGACGGTGAAACAATTTCCAAGATCGCGGACCTTGCACAAGAAAAGCCGTACGTGACCTTGCTCATCGAGCAGGCGGAAGGTCCAATTCAAAAGGCCCAAGTGCGGCAGGTTCTGATGGCCTACAAAGGCAGCGAGACCGAAGTTGATCCTCCGTTGGCACCGGATGTGATGGACATCTGCAAAGTACAAATTGAGAGACTGAAGAAACGCGATCCAAAACCCCAGAAAAGCATTTTGAAGGAAACGTAGGTTAAAAAAGGTTATTGACTAGAGTTAACATGGTTGGAAACTTGGTAGTTAAATTTTAATTTAGTTTCCAAACTTTTGAAGTAAAAGATTTTACAAACCACTATGTTTCAAATTTGTAGTTTTGAATTTTAGTACGGAGCCCCGCGGTCACGTTTCATTCGAGGAGAAGGCCAGTGCACAAGCGATCGTGGCTGAGCACAACAACAAGCTCATGGTCCCAATCCCTGCTCCCACTCCAGTTGTCAACAACTATCAGAGCTTGGCCGCCTTGGACAAAGGAAAGAACTGATTTTCTGATTTCGGATAAACGACTGATCATAAACGACTGATTTCGAATAAACTCTGACTTTGAATTTTTTTGATTTTAATTTTGTATTCAAATTATACCTTGTCTTAGGTTTTTTTAGCAATTTTGGTCATTATTCTAAAATTTAATAATTTAAAAAGATTTTGAAGATGCTCACAGCTCGGGTACTGACTCGATTTCTAGCTTTCACCTTAGTTCTAGCCTAGCCGTAGCTCCAGCTTTTTTACTAGTCTAAGAGCAAGGCCACAACATGTTTGTTAAACTATTTATTTACTCAAAAAAATTAAAAAATCATCGATAAAAGTAGAAAAGCATCATAATAATAGGAAGTAAATATAAGAAACTGGCTGACGCATAGGTGTGGAACGCATAAAATATTAACCTTGTTCTAAGCTAAACCATCCGTTGTTAAAGAAGACATTGGTTTCCTCGCTAAATCTTTCATTGAATTGTTCATGTAGTAAAATTGTTATCCAAGAGTCTCGATTAACAAAAGCCAAAAAATCAAAATTTTTTAATTAAAAATAGTTTTTGTGACACTTCGCTTCCTTATTGATTTGTGGGCCGGAATTAGGATTTTTCTGAAAATCTCTGCTTCATCGATGTTTTTCAATGTAAAATGAATGGAATAGTACATGTTAGAGTAAGTTAAACTTTTCTTTCAATCCATTTAATGTTTAGGACCTTCTTTTCGATGAATGGAGCGAGATTCAGCAAGTTTCGGGCTGGAATTTCACAATCACACGTTTCAAAGCATTCATGGATAATATCGTGTCTTATAAGGATTACTTTTGAGTCGGTGGGCATTGGAAAAGGTTATTTTAGGGTTATTAAACGTTTATTCGTAGGTTTATACAATTCTTTAAAGGTTTTAGGCTTATTTTTGCTTCTATTCTCGGTGTTTTTCAGGCTACAACAATATCGGTCAAAAAGATTTTGTTTTTGATTTGGCATGGATGAAGGTACTTTGCAAAAGATGGTTTTATTTAGAGTAGGCTTACGAAATTCGAGATCGAATTCGACTCATTCAGGACAATCATGTTTCAAGGTGCTCATGGATAATATCGAAGCAGGTCTGCAAGCGGTTAAAGGTGGTGGCAGTTCTAAAGACGCTTCTGGGTTAGATAATTTATTTTTTTATAGGATTTTACATTTTTTGGTCAAAAATAGTGTTTGATTGTTTTGGCATCCGACTAATTCACAAAAATCGGCGGCCATCAGCACCCTGTCCATACTCACGGTGGGCGATGGCATGGAACTATGTGTGGACTTCTACCGGTTCAAGGTGGAAGGTTCCACTGCCAAAGCATCAAGGCACATCCATTGTCCAGACAATTCAACCGTCCAGGGAGATTTTGCGTAAGTTGTCTTGGTCAATCTTAGGGGTGAGAAACGGGCCGTCTAGGCCCCACCGTTAGGTAACAAAGTTGGTTTTAAAGGGTGTTTTGTGATTGTGAAACATTTTTTTGTTCATTTTTGTTTATAAATGGCGGTTTTTTGTGATTTTGGACAAAAGTTTCGTTTATTTTGAAATTTAGGTAACATATTTCGTTTTTTTATTAGAATTTTGTATAGATATGAAAAAATATGTTGTTAATTTTTTATTTTAAAAAGATTTTTTAAAATTTAATTGATAAGTCGTTATTTCATTAGAAAGATCACGTAAGATTATGGTTTGGCCAGGGTATGGTTTAAATTAATGTTTTTTAAGTTTTTAGGTAACCAAACTGTTGCTTAAGATAGGCCAAGTAACTTTAGGGTAAAACCAGGCTTTGCTAAGCTTAAAAATACGGTTAAAAATTTAAAAAAGTTGTGTTTTGATAAAGAACATGTGTGAGATTACCACAATACAACTACGTTTTTCTCGAAATCGTTTGACTATAAATTAGTACAAATTGTAACTTTTGTTTCTTTTGCTTTTACTTCCGAGAATTGACAATAAACAGTCAGTTAAGTCAAGTGATGAGAGTCTTTAAAAGCTTTGAGTAGGTTAGTTGAACCTTTGTTTTATTAATTTTTATGTGTTTTTCTTTTTATGGGATTGTAATGAACGTTCTTGCTATTTTAAACAAAATTTTTGTTTTGCAGGCTGTAGAAGACAAGTTATACGATGATTTTTTTTGGCAATGAATTTCTTGTAATTTTGTGTTTTTTAAAGAATTTCATTGCCATTTTTGTGTTTTGTAAAGAAAGTTTTTGCATATTTAAGTTTTGTAAAGAAAGTTTTCGCATTTTTAAGTTTTGTAAAGAAAGTTTTTGCCATTTTTCGTTTTGTAAAGAAATTATTGATAAAAAAGTTCAAAGTTCCTTCATACGTTTTCAAATTTGCAACAATAAGAAACAACTGATAATCTTTGGTTAGTAGCAAGCTTAATCTATACTTTCACATATTACTGTAACCACTGTTACTGATATTGGTTGTTTATCAACTCTTACCCTTAAATCTGCCCCTATCTCTACCGCGAACTTGTACCCCAACACCTACTCTTACTCCTACTTTTAATCCTGCTTTTACTCCTACTTCTACTCATAATTTTACTTATAAAACTAGTCCTCACCTACCTCTACCGCTACTCCTACCTCTTCATATGACAAACAAACTTTGTTTCCATTTTCGATCATTTTTGTTTGTAAAAATGATTTTTTTTTCATTTTCTTTCATTTTGCAATTCGGCGCCAATTGACAGGTTTAGGAACGGTAGCAAAAAGTATGACCGTGCCGTGCTGTCAATTTGGAAACGTTCTTTGTTTGCAAAATTCGAATGTTATTATTTAAAATAATGTTATTCATTATCAAACGTGATGTAAAACAATGTTTTGACTGTTTTTACATGACATTTGATTAAAAACCAATGTGAATGTGGATCAGTTGGCCTAATGGCTTTACGGGGCGGTATAAAAGAACAGGGGTTTTAAGAGGCTTTTAGTAGGGTTTGAAGCGTATTATAGGTTATGGAAAGAAAGTTATCGGAATTGTAAAATCCGTAAAGAAAGTTCTTGCTGAAAGTTTAGGGTAGGAAGCATTAAGTTAGGGTAAGGAAAGGTAGAGTAAGGCAGGGTAGTTTATGGTAAGGTAAAGAACAGTGAAGTAGGGTAAGGTAGGGTAGAGTAGGACAGGGTAATTTACAATATGATACCGTATTGTAAGGTATTCTAGTGAATATTTTTTGAGTTTGGAATTGGGTGGGGATTACTATACTTTCTTACTTATCAATTTCAAAAAAAATAACATTGTAATACTGTAATCAAAGTTATGACCATTGTGACAATTTTTTTTACTGAAACGTGACATTGTCTAACACCTATAAAAAGCTGATAACTTTGTTTATTCGTCTGTAAAATTGTTTCGTAATAAAAAAGCGATAAAATTATTGGACTTAGGTTCAATAACAAAGTAATAAAAGGGAAAAGGTCTTGGCTAGACTGTCTGAAAAATTTTTGATATTAAACTTTGATTTAAGAGGTAGAGGGTACTGTAATTTCTATTTTTGAATGCTTTACCGGCTGATTTTGGGTTGAAATCAGGATTTTTAAAATAAAAAATTAAATTTTCTTAAATTTTTTATAAATCGTGATTCCACTGGCGACGTCAAATTTCAAACATTTTTTAAAAATCTGAAATTCTTTTTTGAAGGTTTTAGACAATGCTGAGTACAAAATTACAACTTTTTTTATTTTTGGTTACTGTATTGTGGAGTACAGTAAGGTTACGGTAAAATTTTCATCTCCATAACGAATAGTTGTAGAGACATGGCGTCTTCACTATCGTGTAGTACGACCACGATACAGTATTTCTTATGTTGGAGTCAAAGTTCCATGTATAATTTTACCGTAGTAAAAATTCGTATCTTGTGTCGTAATTACAGTAACCCAACAATATTAAAAAAACGGTTTAGGATACCCCTCTGTTTTATTTTAGATTATTACTCTACATGTTATTGCGGTTCGAATGATATATAATTCAAAAAAAACTATTGTGACTTTTGGGGTCAAAGGTCAAGTTGAAGTTGGCCTACCCTATATGTATTTCGAAAAAAATTTTTAAAACTAAGTAAAAACTAACTGGTGGAATAGTAGAGTTACTAAAACTCATTTTTATTATTACTTCAAGTTTACTTTGTCACTTTACCGTAGTAAAATTTCGTATCTTGTGTTGTAATTACAGTAACCCAACAATAATAAAAAAACGGTTTGAGATACCCCTCTTTTTTATTTGAAATTATTACTCTACATGTTATTGCGGTTCGAATAATATATAATTCAAAAAAAATTATTGTGACTTTTGGGGTCAAAGGTCAAGTTGAAGTTGGTCGACGCTATATGTATTTCGAAAAAAAAATTTTAAAACAATGTAAAAACTAACTGGTGAAAGGTACACCAGCAAAAATAAAACTACGCTTGATCTTTTTGGCCCTACCCAAGTCCATCCCTGACCTTTTTAGTCCTACCCGACCTTACCTCTGACCCTTTTAGCCCTACCTGACCCTACCACTGACCATTTTAACCTTACCCTACCATGTCATACTCTATACTACCTACCATTCCATGCCATACCATACCATACTATATCATACCATACCATACCATATCATAGCCTATCTTACCTATAATACTATTCTATATTAGCCTATACTAAACCACATATCTTGCCTTAATTACTCAACCTGAACCAATGGATAAATATTATAGTATACGGTAGTGTTGTAAATAAAAGATTAGGCAGAGTAAGATGTGGTATAGTTTGGTAGATAGGATAAGGTATAGTATGGGATACTATGGTATAGGTATAGTAGGTAGACAAGGTATGGTATAGTAGGGAACATACAGTATAATATTAATATAATATGTTGCTGTATGGTAGAGTAGGTAGTATAGGGTATGGTATAATATATAATAGTACAGGGTATAGTAGAATATTTTATGGTAGGTAGTATAGGAGATGGTAGTACAGGATTTGGTAAGGTATTGTACGGTAGGTAGTACAGAGTATGGTATTGTAGGTAAGATAGAAGATAATAGAAAACATACGATATAATATGATATGGTATGCATAGTAGGTAGGATAGGGTAGGGTACGGCATGGTACGGTTTTGTACGGTACGGTATATTATGGTGTGGTATATCAGGTAGGATGAGTACGATATAGTAGGTAGCATAGGGTTTGACATGGTAGGGTAAGGTTAAAATGGTCAGTGGTAGGGTCAGGTAGGGCTAAAAGGGTCAGAGGTAAGGTCGGGTAGGACTAAAAAGGTCAGGGATGGACTTGGGTAGGGCCAAAAAGATCAAGCGTAGTTTTATTTTTGCTGGTGTACCTTTCACCAGTTAGTTTTTACATTGTTTTAAAATTTTTTTTCGAAATACATATAGCGTCGACCAACTTCAACTTGACCTTTGACCCCAAAAGTCACAATAATTTTTTTTGAATTATATATTATTCGAACCGCAATAACATGTAGAGTAATAATTTCAAATAAAAAAGAGGGGTATCTCAAACCGTTTTTTATTATTGTTGGGTTACTGTAATTACAACACAAGATACGAAATTTTACTACGGTAAAGTGACAAAGTAAACTTGAAGTAATAATAAAAATGAGTTTTAGTAACTCTACTATTCCACCAGTTAGTTTTTACTTAGTTTTAAAAATTTTTTTCGAAATACATATAGGGTAGGCCAACTTCAACTTGACCTTTGACCCCAAAAGTCACAATAGTTTTTTTTGAATTATATATCATTCGAACCGCAATAACATGTAGAGTAATAATCTAAAATAAAACAGAGGGGTATCCTAAACCGTTTTTTTAATATTGTTGGGTTACTGTAATTACAACACAAGATACGAAATTTTACTACGGTAAAGTGACAAAGTAAACTTGAAGTAATAATAAAAATGAGTTTTAGTAACTCTACTATTCCACCAGTTAGTTTTTACTTAGTTTTAAAAATTTTTTTCGAAATACATATAGGGTAGGCCAACTTCAACTTGACCTTTGACCCCAAAAGTCACAATAGTTTTTTTTGAATTATATATCATTCGAACCGCAATAACATGTAGAGTAATAATCTAAAATAAAACAGAGGGGTATCCTAAACCGTTTTTTTAATATTGTTGGGTTACTGTAATTACAACACAAGATACGAAATTTTACTACGGTAAAGTGACAAAGTAAACTTGAAGTAATAATAAAAATGAGTTTTAGTAACTCTACTATTCCACCAGTTAGTTTTTACTTAGTTTTAAAATTTTTTTTTGAAATACAGCTTCAACTTGACCTTTGACCCCAAAAGTCACAATAATTTTTTTTGAATTATATATTATTCGAACCGCAATAACATGTAGAGTAATAATTTCAAATAAAAAAGAGGGGTATCTCAAACCGTTTTTTATTATTGTTGGGTTACTGTAATTACAACACAAGATACGAAATTTTACTACGGTAAAGTGACAAAGTAAACTTGAAGTAATAATAAAAATGAGTTTTAGTAACTCTACTATTCCACCAGTTAGTTTTTACTTAGTTTTAAAATTTTTTTTTGAAATACAGCTTCAACTTGACCTTTGACCCCAAAAGTCACAATAATTTTTTTTGAATTATATATTATTCGAACCGCAATAACATGTAGAGTAATAATTTCAAATAAAAAAGAAGGGTATCTCAAACCGTTTTTTTATTATTGTTGGGTTACTGTAATTACAACACAAGATACGAAATTTTACTACGATTTACAAAAAACATGTTTTAATTTAAAATTTTTGGTTTGGTATAACAAATGTAGATTATATTCTTTTGTGTTATATCTCGGAGGGGATTTATAGTTAATTAATTATATGCAACGTATCTAACCGGCACAGATCAACGTAGATAACATTTGTGAAACGTTTTAAACCGGAACCTTTTTTAATTGAAAATGTTATAGTGGAATAATTTTTTGAGTTATAAAAGTGATGAAAGCCTATAAAACTTTATTTTTATTTTAATGTACTCATTTGAAAGGCAAACATATTGATTTTCAAGCCTAATTTATTTTTTTTTGACGCAGTATGTGACCTAAATTTAAAAAAATTTTGGTTTTTTAAATGCAAACTTTAAAAACACCCCTTTTAACACTCATTTTACCCTCTTCAACTCACCAATCAGCCCCAAAAGGAAAGGGAAAGAAAACGAAAGAGAGTCAAACTTGTACGCCCATAGCCCGTTGAACGCACGCCATCCCGTCCGATCTGGCAAGTTAAGCAACGGTGCGCTTGATTAGTACTTGGATCGGAGACGTCCTTGGAATCTCAAGTGGCGTACGCATTTTTGACATTTTATGGTGGTTTTTATACTATTTGTGGGGTGGAGATGGGTAAGGATATGCTTTATGGTATTTTAGGGGTAAAAAAGGGTCGTAAGGACAGAAGAGGGGTGGTTTGGCTCTCAAGTTTTTAGGTTTTGATTAATATCTACTCCCTAGGCTAGCTAATCGTTTACTCAATTTTTTAGTATGCCTTAGGCATATAAGCTTTTTTGTTTCATTGGGTGTAACAACGTTTTTGGAATTTTATCTTTTGTAAAGAAAGTTATTGCCAGTCCATGGTTTGTAAAGGAAGCTTTTGTCATTTTGTGACTTGTAAAGAAAGTTATTTCTATTTTTTGCTTTGTGAAAAAAATTCTTGCAGTTTTCAACTATGGACAAAAAAATTTATTTTTAGTTTTGTAAACAAAGTTTTTGCTATTTTAGTTTTTTTATCTTTGCACTTTTTTGCAGTACCACTTTCACCTAAAATTAGTGCCACTATGTCTATACCAGAGTCATAACGTACAATCTGTATACCCCAAGAAATTAACGAGTTTCTTGTTGTGTCACGACCTCAATGACAATCAAGATAAAGTAGTTTCGAGTTGTAGGCTATTGAATTCGACTTTTGAATACATTATCAATACGGAATCTAGTCGTGCGCGTCGTTTTTTATATGTTTCCTTGTGTTTTTATTTGCTTCGGCTGTTAATTTTTAAAAAGTTTCGAATTTTTCGAAATTTTTTAAAATTTTATGTGGTATAGGATGTAATAGGCGTGATCTCTTAGGGATAAGGGATCATAATGTAAGGTTAAATTAATTAAAAGTTTAATAAGAATAGGGCATAGTCAATTAATATATGAAGGCGTAGGTTGTTCTATCGGTAAGAGCAAGGTAGGATAGGGTATGATGAGGAGTGGCATGTTAACTTAGGATAGGAAAGGTTAGGGTATGTTAAGTTAAGGAAAGAAAAAGTAGGACACAGTAAGTTGGTGAAGGGTAGGGTGTTAGGAATTAATTACAAGTTTAATCCTGGGGCATGGTAAATTAATACTCGGAGTGGTAGGCCTACTATAGGTAAAGGTAGGGCAGGGTATCTAAAAGTAGGGTAAGTTAGGATAGATAGGGTAGGATAGGGTAAGGTATGTTAGAGTAGGGTAGGGTAGTTTAGGGAAAGGTAAGGTAATGTAAGGTAAGGTAAGGCAAGGTAGAGTAAAATACGATATTTTTTAACCAAAGTATTATAGTTTAACCTCAAAATGACATATATTGATTACACTTTTCTCGCGTTCCTGTTCTTTAAAACTGGAGGTCATTGCTGATTTGGTTTAGGAACAACATGTCAGTTGGCTCTTCGGTGTCCCCATCGCTGTCCAGCTGCTCTTCCAACGGCGACAGAATGTCTCCATCAGGTAAGGAGAACTATATATCTTGTAAAATGGCAACGGTACTAAATTTTGGGCCAGAAAATGTTGTTTTGGGTACAAAAAATGGTGTTTTAAGCTTAGAACATGGTGGTTTAGGCATTGAAAAAGGTAGGTTTAAGCTTAAAAACGGATGTTTCTGGCTAAGAGGATGTTGTTTTAGCTAAGAAAAGTTGATTTAAGGCTGAAAAAGTTATGTTTAGTCTTAAAATTCAAGTTTTAGGCCCTAAAACTATAAATTTAGGTAACAAATCGAATGCTTTTTAATATTATCATTATCATTTTGAAAAATATATTGTTAGTTTTGTCATTTTAAAGCTATAAGGGTCATTTATAATGTAAAAACTGTAAATTGGGGGTAATTTGTTACCTAAAAGATCAACGTTTAGTTTGTTACAAAAACGAAAACATTTCTTAGAATCGGGAACGTTTAGTCATAAGAACGGAAGAGAACGCGCGAAATGTCATTTTTATTTTACAAATTTTTGGAATTTAAAATTTTTTTGAATTTTGAAAATTTTTAAAAATTAAATTTTTTTGAAAATTCGAACTTTGATTTTGTTAAAAATTGATTTTTTTACTTTCAGAGATACCCCTGCTTCATGTAGACGAAGAAGAGCTCGGAATTCAACCACTGGTCGACAAAGTGCCCTGCCAAATCTGCAAACTTCAGGCTTCGGCCGTTACCTATTTTGGAGTGCCGGTTTGTTCAGGATGTCGCGCTTTCTTTCGACGTTCAGTGAAGAGCAACAAGAAGTATCATTGTTTGAACTCGAGGCTTTGTGGCAAGAATCAGTGTAAGGAACTTTTGACATTTTTTAAACATTTTTTGTCAAAAATAATTTTTTTGAAAAATTTTAAAAATATCGAAATTTTAAAGAAAGTGCTATTTTAAATGTATTTTTTTAATTTTCTGAGGGTTTTATGGTCAAAAAACTGTGCTTTGATATGCTAGTACCTTTATTGGTACCTTTTAGTGCTCCTTTGTTAAGTGCTTTCATAGGTCAGTGCGAGTGCGCTGGACCTATCAATCAAAAGCTCTTGGGTTCGAATCCTGATGGATGTAAACATCTTTTTTGCTGGTTTTAACTAACTTTTTGATATTGAAAAGTTTAAAATAAGTAAAATACGACTATTAAAGATTCATTATGAAAGATTTATGAAAAGTATGATTAAAAGAGTGTAAAAAATAACTTTTTTTGTCACTTTAGTGGTTCCAAACCGCCGAGTCTGCAAATACTGTCGCTTTCAACGGTGTATCGACGCTGGAATGTTGGATGCTAGTAAGTTTTTTTTTAACAATAAAAGTTGAGAATAGTTTTAAAATTGTCAGAATTTTCTTCATAATATTTAAAATGGCGAGAACTTTCATTACAAAACAAAAAAGTGGGATTTGGCGTATAACTTGTCACCTGCAGGCTGCGCATGGCTGATTTTGTTTGTTTTTGCACAAATACGAAGGAATTTTATTTACAAAGGTGAAACGGCAAGAAATTTCTTTAAAAAAGTTAAAATGGCGAGAACTTTCTTTACAGAAGCTAAAATGGCAAGAACTTTGTTTACAAAACAAAACATGGCAAAAACTTTCTTTCCAGTTTCTATAACACGCCTTTACTGTTTTTCAGAAGTGCGGATGACCACTCGTTTAATGGAATCGACCAAAAACTTTGACTGTCCCTTGCCCTTCCTCGTCACCAGCCCCACCTCCACGGTGTACCTGACCAACGACGACGTCCTCTCCAGGTTCATGACTCTAAAACAACGTATAATATCTGAGAGAAATCGACTTTACGGCCACCGATTCGAAGCCCAACTCAGCTCGGGAGCTCCACACGACATGAAGGTGGGCTTGGACGAATATGCCATTTTCAATCGTGTCATCAACTCCACCGACAACCTCTTTAACCAGATTGATGTGGAGGACTGGGAGCGGCTAAAGTCTAGTGAATACTCAATGTGGTGGTCGTTGACGGAGCAGCTAGCTACAACGATAAGATACTATGGTCATGAGCATAAGAGGCTGTACAACATTGATGGCTCATATGCACCATTAACAATGGAGCACACCCGAAGACACTTTGGCTACATCTACTCGAACATCGAAGGTGATAAGGACAATATCTTTGATATCACTATGGAATACGTATTTAGAGTTCAGCTAGCCATGGCCGAAACTGTGGCTAAGTCTATGGCCAAGATCAATCTGGATGATACTGAACTATCAGCGCTAGTACTGTTGTTAATGACTAGAAGCTCATGTCTGGAGAATGTGAAAGAGAACACGAGGAAGTACCTCAAGTTCTTGAGGGATGGGACATTGAAGAGCTTGGCCAACTACGAAAAAAGTCATGGCCGAGATGAGGATGAAAGGATGGCTCAGATCATATTCTTAATGACAGACTTTCAGGTAGGTAAAGGGGCTTTTTGAAGTTTGAAATGATAAGAAAGGCAAAAATGACAAGAACTTTCTTTAATGAGCAAAAAATGGCAACTACTTTCTTTACATAGCAAAAAGTGACAATATCTTTCTTTACAAATCTAAAAATGACAAGAACTTTGTTTACAAGACCAAAAACGCTATCGGTCGTATAACTTGTCACCCGCAGTCCGTGCGAGGCTATTTTAGCCTTTTTATACTGAAAAAACAAGAACTTTGTTTACAAACAATAAAATTGCAAGAACTTAATTTACAAGACTTTAAATGGCAAGGACTTTCTTTACAGAACAAAAAATGACAAAAATTTTCTTTACAAGGCAAAATGTCAAGAACTTTCTTTACAAAATAAAAAATGGCAAGAAATTTCTTTACAGAATGAAAACTGGCAAGAACATTGTTTAGAAAAACCAGAATGGCAAGAACTTTGTTTACAAAAGCAAAAATGGCAAGAACTTTCTTTAGAAAGCAAAAAATGAAGCAAATTTCAATTTTAAAATTTTAGAATTTGGGTCGACTGATAAAACACTCGATGCAACTTTTAATGGCTGCCACTGAATACCGTGCGTTGCCACAACATTTCTACCGTATTTTAGACGAATGTCGTCATAGCAGCTTCATAAAACCAAAAGCAGTCTTTGCTTGTTAATTTTTTCACTTTAAAATTTCCAAATTTTTATTCATAACCTTGTACATATCTTTTATTTTATAAAGCACCCTGTTGTAGTACCATATCTTGCCTTTTTTAATTTTTTTGAGTTTTAAAGATTTAAATGGTTATATTCTTCCAATAGCCTTTGAAAATAATTATTAAAAATTATATTAATCCTAAAATTTTGAAAAAATGAAAATTTTAACGTCCTTCTACCTTATATGTAGTTTTGAAAAGAAATTTTAATAAATGAAAAATGTTTTTTTTTAGTTTATGAAAATTTTTCATTTTTACACCTAAAAATAGTCCTTTTCAACTTTATTTTACCCCCTTCAATCCAATAATCAGTCCCAAAAGGAAAGGGAAAGAAAACGAAAGAAGTTTTGATGTGTACGCCCATAGCCCGTTGAACGCACGCCATCCCGTCCGATCTGGCAAGTTAAGCAACGGTGCGCTTGATTAGTACTTGGATCGGAGACGTCCTTGGAATCTCAAGTGGCGTACGCATTTTTGACAATTTATGGTATTTTTTGGTACCATTTTTGAGTTTGTGGTTGAAAAGGGTTGTTTTATATTGTTTTAGGGGTAGAAAGCGGTTGTTTTATATTATTTTAGGAGTGTTTTGGGGGTATAAAATGTGACTTTTTTGGGTAAAATACGATGTTGTTATTCAATAAAACGGTACATTTGGTGCGGATGTTTTTAGTTTTTATTACCTAAATATAGAAATAAACTGGTGTTAAATACGGTTTTAAAAAGCTTACAAAGGTGTACCAAAATCAGCTTTCTGCAGTTGATTTAGTTAACTTACCACAAAGTTATAGCGCTTCAAAAGTTACCTCTTATGTAAACATAGATCAAAATTAGAGGGAACTGACAAAGATTTAGAATAAAATTGACAAAACTCGACAGGAAAAATAAATTTTTTGTCTAACAATTCACTTTTAAAAATCGAATGGACAGTTTGTAACATTCCCTTGTAAAAGCTAAAAGAACAATCTTCTACTTGACTATAACACAACAAATCATATAAAATGTTAGTTAAAACACGCAAAAAGTGATGTCAGAGTTGAAAATGGAAAAACAAAAAGTTGAAATTAAAAAAAAATTAAAAAAGTAAATTCAGATTAACGTTTTGCGAGTAAAACCCATTTACTTACAGTTTTAATGCAAAAACCTCACAAACTAATTAGTTAAAAATTGCTTTTTTATCAAATTAATTAGTCAAAATTGCTTTTTTAGTAACTTTTTCGAGTTCAAAAGTTTCAAATTAACAACAAAGTTGCATTTTGTTAATGCACCAAACCATTTCGATGCATTAACCTTTAATTTGCAATTAATGCATTAACAAAGTAAAGTAAAAAGTCATTTTAATTCGAGGCGTTAGGCTTTTTGCTTGTTTTAAAAAGAAATTTGTTGTTCAAAAAATTTTGAGCCACTGAACTCCGAAATGTGCTTTGAAAGGTGGCTCAGTATTTTTTGAACAAAATTGCTTTGAATTCTTCTTACACTCAAAGCAAATTTGTTCAAAAAATTCTGAGCCCTTCTCAAAGAAAATTGCGGGGCGGGGCGGCTCAAAATTTTTTGAACAACTTAACACTTCTTATCAAAAAAAGCAAAAAAGTCGTTTTTAAAATCTAAATTAAGGTAAACCCCTTCCCCCGCTACTTTGACGTCAAGAAACTAAAAATTACAAAAACTAACAAAGTAAGTAGCTACAACACGAAACAGTATATAAGGCCGAGCATGCCCTACTACAACATCATAGTCGAAGACTTTTGATAACCTCAAGTTCTTAAAAATGGTATTTGACCAAGCCGGAGGACCAGCCTACTTCTTGTACGACAAACTGAGTGCTGATGAGAAGGCTCGTGCCGAAACCCTAAAGAATGCCGGTCGAAAAGTGAAGAGACTCGAGGCCAAACAATTGTTGACCGACTTCGTCAAGACTTTGTCTCCAAACCTTCAGGTGGGTTGGGAGAATAATTAAGAATGGCATTAATTAGGCTAGAGGTCAAAAAGTGTATGGAACTGTATGTTTTTGACACAAATTTGAGGGTCTGTTCAAAAAGTTTGTAGGCGACCAATTTTTAGTTTTTTGGTCGAAAAGTTTGTGGATTTTTTCGTTTTTTGGTTGAAAATTTGAAAATTGAGGCCTTGTTCGAAAAGTTTATGGAAAATTTGTTTGTTTGATTAGGTTTTTAAAAAACCAAGTTTTGAGCCAAAAATTAGATACAAATTGATGTTTTTTACTTGCAATCGAGAACATGGTCACAAAGTTTATGGAACTTTTTCTTTTCATGGAAAAGTGAGGCACTGGTCAAAAAATTGATCGAAATTAATGTTTTTGACTGACAATTGAGGTCCCGGTGAAAAAGTTTAAAGAAAAAACAACTTATAGTTTGTCCGGTCAAAAAGTTTATGGAATTTGACGTTTTTTTACTGAAAAATCAGAGCTTAGTCAAAAAGTTTGTAGAAAAAGCTATCTTTGGTTTTTTGGTAAAAAATTTCGCAGATTTGAGAACAAATTTGAATCTTCTATGAACTTTTAGACCGGTCTTTTTGCTTCTAATCAATTTATGGCCAAGTCTGTAAATTATACAAACTTTTTGACCGATATTTAGTTTTGAAATCTTTTGGATTTTTGTTTAACTGTCCACAAACACCAATTTTTTCTCTAATCATCGTCTCATACCTTTTTAAAGTCAATACTCACACCTTTACAAAATCAATATTTGCAGGCCATCGCGAAAGAGCAACGTGAAATATACGAGAAGCGACGTGACGAAAGCGTGAACAAGATCAAGACATTGAGCGCGGGCGCTCAATCCCTCTACAATGAGGTCAAGAAGCTGGACAATGGCTCGATGGACGCTGAGACTGAGCACGCCAAGATCAAGGCATTGGTAATGGCAGCTCCGGCTGGTGTTCGTGATGAGCTCAAAGCTAACAATATTGTACTACCTGGTGTACCAGTAGTCTACTAGAGGGGTCTAGTGGTTTAGATTGGTACTAAATGCTTCTTTAAACTAGTATCAATCTTCGACAAGACTATAACACAAATCTGTAAAATTTACATGTAGTTTTAACGAGTTATAATGACCTTTTAGCTTCAATAAACATGTTTAGCACAAGGTTCAAATGTTTTTAAAATTTTGTATTCTTTGATTTTTAAAACTTTAAAATAACTTAGCTATGTATTAAAAACTTACTCAACTACACAATGTATTCAAACACAATGTCCTTCCAACAACATTCAGTGCACCTTTCATCGTATAACGTGACCCTGCAGACTGCAAAGCGTTTTTGGTCGAAAAGTATATAGAAATCATGTTTTTGGACAGAAATTTGAATGAAGTAGGTTATGTAGGTCTAAAGGTTTGTAAAAAACAGTTTTGATTAGACCATTACCTAAAATCCGGGCGACAATTAAGCTTGAAGGGGAAAACAAGCTATCTTTAAAATGTTTGAGACTATATAAGTTTAGATCGCTAAACTTTCTTAAAAATTGTAATTTTGCTTAACTTTACATCAATTAATGGCATACAAACGTCAACATGTCCGCATTAAATGGGTCACACCACGAAAACAAACATTGGCATTGTGTTCACGAATTGCCGGAGAAAATCATTTCAATCGCTGAACTTTCGACTTTTCTTCTCGCGCGGCCTGAAGCCATGCTTTTTTCGTGTGATTTTGATGTTATCATGTAAATAATCGTGTTTATAGTCAGTTTTACATTAATAATATTGTTTTTCAGGGCTTTCAACATGTTGAGCATGGAAATGGAGCGTTGTCGGAGAGGCAAATGGATGGTGAAGATGGGAATTCCATGAGCAGATGGACAAATGGATGACAATAGATCTGGTGAATGGATAAAAGGTATGTATTTCGGTTTTTTGTTTTGTTTTTAGAGATTTTGAGGAAAGTAGAGGAGGTAGAGTATATTATACTAGATGAGAGAGTTGCTTTTGATCGTTGTGCTGTCATTTTTCATCGAATCTTATAGAATTTGACTTTATTAGAAGCTTTTCAGCTTGGGTTAGGTGTATATTATAATTAGTATTTTAAAGTGGTTTTTGAGATATACGTTATGTTATCCATGAGTCTACTGATGCCAAGGGTAATATTAGTTTTTTTGGCTTTAATGTTGAGTCCTAAAGTTGAAACTGATATAGGTTGTATATCATAGCAATTTTGATGTTTTGAACAAAAAGTTTCGGTTTTTTGTGACTTTGTTGAGCTGATATTAAAATAGAATCCTCTAGATGCCAAGGATAATATCTTGATGGCTTTGATAGAGAGAAATGATTTTTATTTGTTTGGAAAGTGATTAGAACTTGTTAAAGAGTGTCTTGCGTTGCTTTTGAGTAACAATTGGTTTCTTTTGGCAATTGTTCACCAAAGATATTAACCTTGGCATCTAGGTGTCATGGATAATATTGTGGGCACTTGAATAGTATTAAAATCATGGTTTTGTATGTTAAAGCCTATCACTGTTAGTTCCTTAGTATGTTGTAAACATTTTAAAGTTGAACTTTTGTTTATGTAAGGTTTGTCAGCTGAGATATTAGAGAAAGCATCAGATGTGACCAAGGATAATATAATTTTTTCAGTAAATAATGGAAAATTTAAACTTATTTCACTAAAATTAATTGTGTTTGTGATCTTTATGTAATGTTAGATCATTTTAGAAGATATTCCATTGAAATGGAAGTAGAGTACTGTTCGTTCGATGGTTCCTGTCAATGTTCCGAAGTCCATCCACGATGAGTCAGATCGAGATGAAGAAGCCCGTAATCTTTAGGGCAGAGAATCTAATGGCATTATTGTATATTACTTTGTATTTTGAGTTTTTTTCTTTATTTTTTATTTTTTCTACTTTTATTTTTACTTTTTCTTCGTTTATTTGTTTCGTTTCTATTTTTTCTTTTATGTTTTGTTGTATTTTGCGCGTTGTTACCTATTTATCGCGTTGTTGAGGTAGTCTCTGTACGAGCGATGACAGGTCTGATGACGAGTTACAGATGGTCATTACTTTGGCATTTTAAAAGTCTTGACCTGACTAAACATGAATTTTCGGCCAAAAATGGCACTTTTTAAAAGTTTTGCTAAAATACCACTTTTAAATGGAAAAAAAGGTTTTTTGAGTCTAAAATAATACGGAGTTTAAGTTGAATTAGAAATAAAAGTGAATTTTTGGAAGGAAAAAGAACCTTTGAAGGGTGATTTGGATTCAGATCTTGTCATAACTCCTTGCACAGTGCCTGAATGTAGCTTTGACTGGCACTTTTTATCGAAGAAGGGTCGGGAAATGGATGGAATGTTTATAATGAAAGATTTTTGGACCAAAATTTTGTTTTTAAACATGAAAAATTATGTTTTCTCCCAACTGTTAAAATTTTAGAAAATTGAACTTTTTTGCCGAAAACCCTATCTCAAAAATTGTAAAATTTCATTTTTTCCATCAAAAACTACTTTTCGCTCAAAACTTGTAAATTTTCGTTTTTCTTGGTACCAAAGTTTGATTTTTGTCGTTTAAAAACCTTTTTTTTCGTCCAAACTTCAACTTTCGGTCCATTTTTCGCCCGGTCTTTGATTGGAATTGCTTGATCTCTGTCTCCTCAGGTACGCCTTGGATGTTGCTCTAACTGTTCGTAAAGTTCCGTAGAAGTCAGAAGGCATCTCGGCAGAAACTCACCTCTGGGAAGGAGGTACCCCGCCTCCTCCCCTTCTTGGAGGGGGGACGTAATCACCCCGCTCTCCAAGAAAAAGAATGGGGGAGATAACTCGAATAAATAACACGCAGGCATACTCGGTTATAACAATTTATTTAAAGAAAAATTTGGCATGGCCCGTCTTCTAGGGGTGGGTACCACGTTGCCCTACTTAGGAAATGAATTCCCTCCCCAGAGGTGAATCTCTGCCGAGATGCCTTCCAACTTCTCTGGAACTTTACGAACAGTTAGAGCAACATCCAAGGCGTGCCTGAGGAGACACAGATCAAGCAATTCCAACCAAAACCAGTCATAAAATGGACAGAAAGTTGAAGTTTGGGCAAAAAAAGCTTTCAAACAGCAAAAAACAAATTTTGGTACGAAAATTCAAGTTTTAAGCGGAAAGTGGCCGAAAAACAAATTTTAATTCGCAACAGAAAGTTTTTTTTGCAAAAAATTTCGACAGTTTTGAGAGAAAAATATAATTTTGTTCGTTTTCAAAACAAAACACAAGTTTTGGCCCAAAATCAACTTTCCATCCATTTTCTGATCAGTCTCCTGCCGAAGGCGCCACATCCATTTCCCGACCCTTCTTCGATAAAAAGTGCCAGTCAAAGCTACACTCAGGCACTGTGCAAGGAGGTATGACAGGATCTGAATCAAATCACCCTTCAGTTATTTTTTACTTTCCAAAAACGATCATTTTCATTTCAAATTCAACTTAAAATTCGTATTTTAGAAACAAAAAGACTAATTTTCTCCATTCCAAAGTGGTATTTTACCTAAACTTTTTAAAAATTTTAAATTTCGGTCGAAAAATCAAATTTAGTCAAGTCAAAACTTTTAAAATCCTAAAAGCGATGACCATTTGCGATTTGTCATCAGTTCTGTCACCCCAACCTTGCTCTTGGACCTCCCCCTAACATAGTAAAGTCCCAAATCCATCAGAAGGGAGAGCTCGTACAGAGACTACCTCAACAACGCGGGAAATAGGTAACAACGCGCACAATACAAAGAAATATACAACAATGACATTATATTCTTTGACCTAAAGATTACGGCCTGATGACATCTTGATTCAGCTTCTTTGATTATGTGATCTCGTATTTGGTTCGGAACTTGAGCCACCTATACATTGAAAATGATCGACGTTTGAGCTTCCACGTTTATAGCAAAATGGAGCAATTTCTGAAACAGGTGCATTTATTATTTTATGAAAACGCAAAAAAAATTATTTATTTTACAAAAAAATTAAATTTTATATTATCCATGACGAATCTCATGTCAAGTTTAATATTTTAATCATATGAATTATAAAACGTAAAATTTTAGTATTAAAATGTGACGAATACAACTAAAATTGCTTAGCTATCATTACACCTTAAATAACATGCATTTACTTTCTAAATTTTGATATTATCCATGATATCAAGCGGCCATAGATAACATCAAATTAAAGCCAAAAAGTTGAACTCAATTAATAAAATATTCAACATATTAACTCTAACATCTTGTTAACTATATAAGTTTAAAAAAAAAACTTACGTAAGCCGTAGAATCTACAGTTGGCCACAATTATCCATCAATCCATGTTTAACACCAACAACAAGATTTAGAACGTTGATCCTGGGCTTCACCGTGCTCGGCAACACTTGGTTTGATGCTAACAACATCGTCCAGGCTGTTATTACCCCAATTCCACATGGGCAGCGTCTAAAGCCCCTTAAAAATCGAAAAATTATTAAAAGAATATTAACCATCAGATTGCTATGTAAACGTAATGAAAAATCTTCCAAGCTGGCCTAAAATCACAAAAAAAACTAAGAAGTATTACTTACATGTAAAATAACTTGTCCTTGGCCTTATCCATCGCCTACACGGTGTTTAAGCTGACACCTTGTCCGTTCTGACCAATTTGGCTAAGTCGCCGGCAAGGTGAAAATGTTCTTGTAACCATTTCTTTCAAATCGTCCGCTTCTCGTTGCAAACTTGACTCTAAAATACAAAAAATACACAGAAAGATTGTAATGAACATTATTTAACTGTTGTAACCTTCAACTTCGCGCGATATAACACCAGAAATATTAGTTTAGGTTAACCTTGCTTTCTAAAAACGGAAAACCCAATTATTAAACTCCTCAAGAATACAATACCTTAAGACCTAACTAAATGTTTTTACAATATCACTATTAAACATAATATCACCTTAAAATACTTCAAAATATAGCTGAAAGCCAAAAAAGTCTCAATTTGCCACCTAATGCCTAGTGTAATATCCAAAACTGCCCATTTCTCAAAAACATTTCAAGAATTTACAACTAACTAACAATACACTTCCCTCAAACCCAAACCCTTATAACAACGTCAAAATTCCACAAGACTTGATCAAAAATGATACCTATATCACTAAACTTGGCTTTCGCACATTATTTATAACATCAAATCCCTCTTCTTTCCTCAATACTTCTAAAAACAGAACCAAAAACAAAAATACATACCTTTTAGTGTCTTCTACATCCACCATTAGTAGTTTGTCCACATTTTGATGCGTTTCCCATCTTCTCCGTCATTCCACATCTTGGACAACCCTCGATCTCCATTTTAAACATGGTGAATATCCTGTAAAACAATAATTTTAATGAAAAAGTGACGATTGACAATTATATTCACGAAAACTTCAAAAATTCAAAAAAAAATGAATCGCGCGAACGGTTCAATCGAAATGATTTCTTCCGGCAACCACGGGTATACAACGCCAAGATTTGTTTTCGTGGTGGGACCAATTTGAAGTAAACGTGATCAACTTATTGTAGCAAAATAACACTAAAGTAAAGTAAAATAACATTTTTAAATAAATTTTGCTATCTAAACTGGAATAAAATTTTTTATTTAAATTTATCCATTTTGATCCATTTTTGAATAGAAAATCTACCCTTGTAACTACCAAAATGACCTAACATAATATCAAATAGCGTAAAATACGTTGATCACTTGAGCTGTATTAATTTAGTCATTTTTGGGTATTTTGAAGGCCGTTAAAACGAGAAGTTAATGAAATATCCGATGGTAAAGGTTCGTGAGCTCAGCGAGATCAAGGACATTACTCAAGATACGAAATACAACATGATGAAAAAGAAGTAAAATACGTTGATTTATACTACAAGTACTTAAAATTTGATAAACAAACGTTGAATTTGATTAAAATTTCCATAAATTTCAAAGTTCGAAGGTTGAAATTACTTCCTTCGGCAATTAAGGGCGAAAGGCCAATGTTTGTTTTCGTTGCGGGACCATTCATAAAGTGAGATGTTGAACGTATTGTCTTTAAAACGAACATAAAATAAATGGAATATTATCTTTAAACAGTAAATAACTATTTTGGATCTATATTCTTGCTTTTTATTTGCCTTTGGATCATTGATCTTGAAATTGTTAAAATTATATTGTTTTAGGTAAAAATGGTGGTTTAAATGCCATTTTACTCCATTTTTTTGCCATTTCTTTTTAGTTATTTCATTACTATACTATTCTTCATGGTCTTTCTCATCAATTCCATCCAACTGTTACAGTTTTAAACTTTTTATTTTCTTTTTCAACGATATTTTGTGTGACAAATATAAACAAAGGCCGATGGTTATATAATGGTTAACAATGGTTATCTACAATAATCAAATTAGTTATGTGTAAAAATACAAACAGAATTCGAATAGTGGTCCGAATGCGGACTGTTTCATGTGTAAATGGTTGACGATGTTGTTGTTGTTTACCCGAAACTATCGTATGTTGTGTGGTGAGAGTAATATATATAAGAAACTATCGTATGTTGGAGAGAAGAGAGTGTTTGAGAGTGAGAGATGGGGTTGAGAGGGCAGAGAAAGCTCAAAAATTTTGAAATTTCAAAAAAAATTTTTTTTTAATTTTAAAATTTCGAAATTTCAAAATTCCTCTCAAAACCCTTAAAACCACCAAAAATGCCATTTCCAACCATACATTCGATGAGAAATGGCAACTACTCTATGATAATATATGTCTTGTAAACAAAGTTTTATATGTTCAGTATCTAGTATAATATGAATGGAGGAGCTTCTTGACACGTACTAACTTATACTCGATGGTCAACATACCACAGTAACTTTTTTCTTGCAAAAAATGCTGAAGAAATCTTTCTGATTTACCGTGGTATGTTGGACCACATTACAGGCAATATATGGGGAGGGTTTTTCACTGTATAACAACTTTTTACAATAACAATCGAGAGGGAAGGGCACTTAAACTTGGGGGTACCGAGGAGTCTTTGCGAGTTTTCTACTGTAACTACTTCACTGGGCTTACTGTAACTACTACACGGCTTACTGTTACTACCTCTGGGCTTAATGTAACTAAAACTTGGGTTACTGTAACTACTTCACTGGCTTACTGTAACTACCAGACGACTTACTGTAACTGCCAGACGACTTACTGTAACTAAAAATTAGATTACTGTAACTAATTCACTGGGCTACTGTAACTAAAATTACGCTTATTGAACTATATAGAACGTCAAAAACTACAGTAACTATTAATCTTATCTAAAGAACCTACTGTAACTTCTTTATATACTTTTTGGGCTGTACGTGTCTGACCTAATACAGTATGATCGGGCCTACTAATAACTGTAAAGACCGTAGTAGACCTATATACGTGTGATATAGTAGTAGAACCTATATACATGTCATAGTAATTATATATTGACGTAGCTTTAGTTTCGGGCGAACGTATTGCAAATCCGTTGCGGGTTACAAATATCGATTTTTGGAGACAATGGTTAGGGTTACGGTAGTTCGACTTGGGGTACAAACAATCTTAATGCGAGGGGGTACTGTAGATTGAGGTGACTAGGGATTACGGTATTTTGGGTGGGTTACTGTAACTTTTTTTCCGTATACAATGTACTGTATCCGTACTATGAAAAACGTGAGTTACCGTATCCAAAAATAAAATTTTTAGATTACTGTAACTTTTTTCAAGTATCGTATACCTAAAGTTACAGTACTCAAAACTGGGTATACGGTAATCTTTTTCATATTACCGTACCACCTCAACCCATATACCGTAATCCAGTCCCCCAAAAACTCAGACCAATTAGAAAGATTACTGTAACTCGTCGTAACTACAAAGAAAAGCATATTATATTGTGGTAGGTATGTTGCAGAGCTGATTAGAAATATATTTTTGTTCATTTTCATCTTGTTTTAGGTACCATTGCGTCGCCGATTCAAATTACAGTAGGACTACAGTAGGCGGAGTAGTAGTAGGTAGGGGTTGCCAGTTGGGGGAAGATCTAGTTGTGCGGGCTACGGTAGGACAGGGGGTCTAATTTAGTTGGGTTTACGGTAGTCGAATTGTAGGTTGGTTTGGGTTACGGTAGATGTTATACTGTAGGTTTAGGATTACAGTAGATGTAGTACTGTAGTTTTAAGTTTACGGTAGACTTCATAATGTAATTGTAGATTTGTTACAGTAACCATACATCAAGTAGTTATGTAGAGATTACTGTAACCAAATTGCGATTACTGTACCCATGTATAAATTACTGCAGCCACGTAGAGATTACTGTAACCACACTGTGACTACTGTAGCCAAACCTTTCCCATAAACCAAAATACCGTACCCCATCACGCTATTACAGTATGCCTTAGACGACTCGAATCCAGTGGTTCGAGTTCTGTGGCAAGTACAGTAAGACCTGCCTGGGGGTGTGTTCGTAGTAGCCGTCCTGGCCCTGGTAGTAGCAGCTGTAGCTGAGCTGTTGTCGTATCCTCTCGATCATGGCCTGCGTGGAGCGACGCTCGTGACCCATCAAGCAGACGGTCGACTCCTTGATGACTCGGTTCAGGATTTGAAGGTATTGGAACTTTTGCTGAAAGAAGGAACAGGTTAGTACTGTTGGTACTGGTTTTTTGAAATTTTGATAATTTTTGTTTTGAGGGTTGGAAAGAAAGTTTTTGCAATTTCTTGTTTTGGAAACAAAGTTCTTGCCGTTTTGAGTCTTGGAAAGAAAGATCTTGCCATTTTTCACTCTGTAAAGAAAGTTTCTTCCATTTTTCGTAAAAACAAGCAAAAATTGACCTTGCGCAGCCTGCGGATTACAAGTTATACGATGAATAAGCTTTTTTGTTTTGTAAAGAAAGTTCTTGCTATTTTTCGCTCTGTAAAGAAAGTTTTTGACATTTTTCGCTTTGTAAAGAAAGTTCTTGCCATTTTATGTCTTGTAAACAAAGTTTTTGCAATTTTTTGTTCTGTAAAGAAAGTTCTTGTGATTTTAACCTCTGTACAGAAAGTTCTGGCCCTTTCCACTTCCGTAAAGAAAGTTCCTGTTATTCCACTGATAAATATAGGTTACATGCGCTGTTACGTCGTATGTTTACATGGGAATTTGCAAGATATTTGGGTATTGCGTTTTTAAAACGGGTTAATTAGTTTTTTTAAACGAAATTGGTCGTAAACAAGCGGCTTATTACGTCCGAATTCTCGTGATATGGGGCCAAAGAATGGCCATGTAATCTTAATATATACTAGAAGATACTAGTGTATTGTTTGTAATCCTAGTAAATGATAATTGTAATCTTGTCATAGTGTAATTGTGACCTTTTCATCGTGTTATTTTGGACTTACGGAGTAAAAAACAGGCTTACTGAGTAAAAACCAGGCTTACTGAGTAAACTAGGCTTTTTAAGTAACATACGATGTTGCGTGCAGTAAATGCCATTTTTGATCGTATACAAGTTTTAAAATGATATTTTTTATATTTTATGGTCTCAATGTGTCATAAAATGTCATTTCTGAGCCTTATATAATATAAAATGGTTTTTTTTTAAATCCAAAAAATATGTCATCAATGACATAATTTCTAGAATTCTTAGAAATGACATTTCTAGTCGTCATGTACCTTCCTATATCTTAAAACGTCATTTTCAAGCCTAATACAATATAAAATGGCATTATTTTTGAAAATTCCAAAAAATATGTCATCGATGACATAATTCTTCAGCCATTCCAAAACATTTTCGAAAACCGCCAAAAATGACATAATGACAGTAATGAGTGGTCGAGTATCGCATTCTACTTCCTTATGCTCGAGTATAACCCAGTACAATGTCATCATTGCACTGACATCATCCCCCCCCTTTCGCTTTCTCTCTTTGGACGTCTCAAAAGCACGGCACGTTAAAAACAATTTTTCGCGTGACTTCCAAATTCTTCCGGCCCCCACCCCGAAATCCGCTGGGACATGGCAAAAATTAACTTTTTTAAGTAAATAACTCGAACGATTACTGTAATCCGATCCGCGGTTAAAGGTCAAATGACATTTTTTGGTTGAAAAGTGGAATTTATAACAAAAAATTGATATGGAAGAGCATGTCTTATATTATTGTAGTTTGTTTTTACCAAAAATCCTCAAAAAACCCAAAAATTCGAAAAATTTTGAAAAAAATCAAAAAAAAAATACTCTTATACTTAACAAGCTAGCCTAAAATAAATTTTAAAATGTCGCCAAATCCAATAACTTTCCATCCCATTTCAAAAAATATCAAAAACTTTCATTCCAAGCCCGAATATGACCAAAACTTCCGAGCGGAATCGAACCCGGCCGGATTAATCAAGCGCACCGTTGCTTAACTCGCCAGATTGGACGGGAGCGCGCGTTCGCAATGGGCCATAAAGGCAAAATTTATATAAAGGATGGTGACTTGATGAAAATTGTTTTTCTTGCTTGGCAGGAAGTATATTGGTGCATACAAACTAATATCTGTTTAAAAATGGCATTTTTGACACGTTTTTCAACTTTTTTTCAAATTTTCTGCATTTGAAATCGCTTTTCACCTACCTCATCCTCGCTTCCAAAGTGATTGTCCAAATACTGCCTCAACTTAATCTCCTGCATGTTAATATCGCTAAAGTCGATGAAAAACCTCGAGCACATGTACTTCTCCATCTCGCGACAGTTCTGCGTGGCCGTGTAGCCCTTGCACAACAAATGGCAATACTTTAGAAGGCCGCCGCCTCGGATTTCCTCCGGATTCCTGGTGTCGATGAGTCGCTTGTTCAGATGCTGAAGAGCGGCGGCGAAATTGCCGAACATGGATTCGGCTGGGACCACGAGGTTCTTGACCAGCTTCTTGTCCTCCAGCTCGTTGCGTTCGGCCGCGTCTAGCACGGCGTCCAGCGTGATTTGGAACGAGTCCACGCTGAATTCGAAGGCGCGGCGCATCTTGTCCACGAATTTTAGCTCGATGCACCTGAAAATGGAGGTTGAATTAAAGTTTTTGAAAAAATACTGAAATATAGATATAGAAGAAGGTAAGAAATCTAAAATATGATATGAATTCAATTGATAACAGGCTAAAACAATCCAAAAATCGAGGCAAAAAGTCCAAACCAAGAGCTTCCGAAAAATCAAAAGAATTTCCCGCGAAAAATAAAGTTGCGAAGTGCGCCCGGCCAATAATCACTTTTTAACGTATAACTTTTTTGAACCCGAAGTAAAATTAAAACCCTCAAGTAAAAATAAGTATTTTTAAGTAATAAAACAATCTGTCGTACAAATTTTTAAAATTTTGGTTTTAAGGTCAAAAAGTCTGTAGCTACCCAAAAAATATGTCAAAATTTTTAAAAATTACTGGATAACTTTTTAGGTATAAACTCAAAATCAATTTTGTTTGACAAAAATATGTAGTATAGTATGCTCCTTAATACTGTCGCAAGAATTTAAAAAATTTTTAGTTCTGGTCAAAAAATCCATCGCCAAGTAAAAAAAATCAAATTTTTTGTGAAAAAACCAAATTTTCTGTCAAAAACGCCCAATTCCCTGTCATTCCTTACCTTCCATAGTTGTTGTGAAGCGAAAACAAGCTCCACCGATCACCATCCGACACCTTCACCATCTTCCTGATGTAGATATCCTTGAGCGTGTCCACGAACATCATCTGTTTGTTGGTTGAAGCGGGCATGAGCTCGATCAGAGCGTCGAAGACGGCACACCGTACCTTGTCGAAGTCGCCTTCCTGGCTCAGATCGATGGGGAAAATGAGGTCGAGATCGCTGTAGACAAAGTCGTCGTTGCTGAGCACGTACGAAGCGGCACCACCGTTCAGTTTAACGTGTTTCAGCGCCAATTGGCGGTCCAAAAGTTTTCGGCGAACGTGCGAAATGAGTTTGTGTAGGGTGATGCGGAGGGTGGGGAAGTTCTCTTTGCCGTGAATCTCGACTTCTTCGTTCAGGACTGTGCGTAGTCGCTCAACCTGAATAGTTAATAATTTAAGTTTTTGTGAAAAAGTCCTATTTCAAGTTATTTTGTGACAAAGTCCTATTTAAATTTTTTTTGTGAAACAGTCCTAGTAAAAACAATTTTTTGTGAAAAAATCCTATTTTTTAAGTACCTCTGTCACCAAAAAAATCATGCTTTTTAATTTTTGTCACAACCTTTGTAAAAAATTCCTATTTGAAGTTTCTTGTGAAAGGGTCCTATTTTTGCCAATTTTTTAATTTAAAAAACTTGTTTTCCTCCCAAAATTGAAATTTAATATTAATCATGTGACAGACACATTGAGTTTTGATATAAATTAAAAATTAGCGTGGAAAAATTGTGTTTTCAATTGCGTTTGACGTAGAGTCTAGTTTGTTACATATTGAGCAGTACAATAACATAAATTGGGTCGTACTGTAGTTTTGCGATGCTTAAAAACATGGTCTTTAATATTTTTTGAAAAAAAAATTATTTTTAAGAGCAGTATCCTTCAAAAATGGCAAAAACCTTTAAATTTTTTAAACTTTTTACAAAATTTTTGAACTTATCATACTAAAATCTTCATATCTTCGTACTCCGTAATAGAAAGTGTACCAAATTTTGGTAAGTGCTACTAAATAAACCACTAAGTACTATACTAAATCAATTTTTACCCAACTTTAATTTGAGTCGATGATAAAATGGCATAAACTTGAAATAGTCCAAAATTATTCAAAATTTGACCTTATCCCTTTCAAAGTGCCATATCTTTTTAGACACACCCAAAATATCTGAAACTAAGCCTAACAGTACTAAAGATACCCTAACACTCTGTCCCAAAAAATCTTTTCTCTACCCCAACCCCACCCCCAGATATGACCTTTCAAAATGCACACCCTCTCCCCCACTTACGTGTCGGTTGTTGAGCTCCATGAAGGCGGACGAGCTGGCTGGCGTGGCGACTGGTGTGGTGGGAGTGGCACAACAATCAGTTGGTCGCATTTGGAACTAATCGCACTGTTTCCGTTTGAATAGTTCTGAAATTTCAAAAAATTTAAAATTTAAAAAAATTTTTTTAAATCTGAAAAATTTTGATTTAAAATGGAATCTCGAACAAAAAAATGAGTGTTAGTATGATAAGCACGGTTAGTTTAAGCTATAAGCAGTTATGGTTATGCAAAAAATAAATTTTTTTTTTTAAATTTCGAAATTTCAAAAAAATTTTTAAATTTTAAAAAATTTGAAATTTAATTTTTCATGCCCCAAGGCCTTTAAAAAACCTTTTTTCAAAGCAATACATATAAAAACGTGCCAAAAAACGTTAATTTAAACCCCAAAACTGTAATTGTAAACGGAACGCTCGCGGCCATAAATTTCGGTCCATAAAATTGGAATTAGATAAAAACATGAAGTGACGCCATTAAGAGGGGCCAAAAGCCCTTGAGAAAACCATGTGTTCTTTCGAGTATGTACATTGCTTATTTGGCTCCAAAAAGGAATGGCAGAGTGATTTTAGTTCGAAAAAACCGAAATTTTGGCCCGAAAGACTGCTTTTAAGCCTAAAAACAGGCCTAAAATCTATTAAAACAAAGTTTAAAATTTTAAAATTTAATTTTTCTATATCACCCACAAGTCTTGCCAATACATAAACATCAACTTCAACCCACAATAACCCTAACAATTTCGAAAAATCGACCAAAAACCGCCCACAACACCTATCCCACCTAAAGTAATATAAACAAAACCCCATGGAAAGCCAATTCTTATCACTGGAATATGCTCTTAATTAGAAGTTTAAAACAATTATTATGCAAATGTCGTGATAAGAGCAGAAAATTCCAAAGTTGAAGAAATTAACGAACAGCAACTGTTATCAAGTGTAATATCGGAAAGGCATCAGTTTGTATTGTTGCTATTTTTAAACGCCAAAACTTTTTTTGTGTATTAAAGACAATTCAATTTGACGTACTTTAAAACATTTTTGAATGCAAAAACTTTCTTTACAACTCCAAAAAAAATCTTTTTCCGCAAAAAAGGCTGAACGTCATGGATAATATAAAAAACCCTCGTAGGTGTATAAAACTACAAAATAATGGAAAAGTGATGTATACCACAGTAAACTACAATCAATTTGCTACAATTTTCAAGAAAGTAATTAGAAGAAACTTTCTTTACAAGCTAAAGGCAGCGTTTCAAAGGTAGGGACATCAGATGTCAAGTATAACATGAAGAAACGGCTGTAACTTTATAAAACTACAAAATATAGTAAAATGACATTAAGAGTAGCAAATAACATACTATTACCTAATATTTTAAACAGGCGTTACAATAAGAAATGGCAGGATGAGTATGTAACAGTGGCTCAAACTTTTGAGACATCAGATGTCATGGATAATATAAAGAATGATCTATAACTAAAACATAGATAGTTTGAATGCTCTAAATCTAAATACAGCTTCACAAGTAAGCTTTTAGATTTAAAAAGTACCAAAAATGGTAGCAAAAACTTTCTTTATAAACCCGAACCACAGTTTCAAACCTTCAAGCATCAGACCTCAAGTATAATATATATTTTAGCCCATATCTCCGCCCAACAATAAAATATTGAAAAACTGTTTTGAGTAGTTAAAAACCATGATATCAACAATGTTTATCAACAATCACCTCCGTCAAACAATGCTTCGAACGCCCGCATCAACAGTCAAAAGTCAAGTATAATGTAAACTCTTATCATTTTAAATCCATTTTTAAATAACAAAAAGCTTAAAACCCATAGACTGCTTTAAATAATCAAAAATTAGAGGAAAACCACGTTATTATGATAATACAATCACCATGCACATATGATGTAACTGGAGGTGTAGGGGTTTACAGTTATGTTTGGTCGTTAAGATAATATTCAATTAGGTCTGTAGACGTTCGGAATAGCTTTTTATTGCAGAAAACGTAAATTTTGAATGTATTGCCCAAAAACAGCCTATTCAAAGCCTAATAACTGCTATTTTACTCCTCAAAATCAATTTTTAAAACCAAAAAACGCCATTTTAAAAAAGCAAAATGTCATTGTCAACTAGTAAAACATCATAATAATCTAAAAAATTATGCATTGTTACCTAAAAAGCTGTTTTTCATCTCAAAAACAAAGGTTTTTCCCAACAAAAGTAAGGTTTTACCTATAAAAACGTCATTTAAATTTAGAAAAATTTTGATTTTGTACCTAAAAATGACATGCTCTATCTAGAAAAAGTTATTTTGTTTCAAAGAAATGTCATTTTGACCCAAAAAACGTGATTTTATACCTAAATAACCTCGAAAAACGTCATTTTACCCCCCTAAAACCCCGCTCTACCTCAACATCCCAACATTTTACTTCCCAGAACTCCCATAGTAACATACCACACCCTCGAAACACAAAATGAAATCCAAAACATACTCATAATAACCGAAAACAGGCGCTAACACCCCATGAAACACGTAATCAGGGCCGATATTACACTTGAAGAGAAAGGAAAGCCAAATCTCGAGAGAAGCCTTCTGAATCCGAGAACGTTCCAACGTTCCGTTCGCGAGGCCACAAAGTCCCACCCACTTTGTTTTTTAATGGACCATCACGTGAACATACGCTGTGGGAGAGAGAGTGTGGTGGGAGAGGAGAGTGTTAGAGAGAGGGAGAGAGAGTGTGGCGAGAGAACAGGGGGTTAGAGAAAGAGGAGAGAGTAGAGAGAATGATGAGAGCAGAAAGAGAAAGAAAGATTGGGGTTTAAAAAATAAGGTCATATATGTTTTGGCATTAAAATCATAACTAAAATACGATTTTTTAAAAAATTTTTAAAATTTCAAAATTTTTTTTCAAATATAATAAAAAAATCATTTTTAAATCACCAAAAAACCTCAAAATTTTGAACTCTAAACCCTTTAAACCCTTTTTTTCAAATTTCAAAAATTTTTCAACCCAACATTACAGTACATTAACATTCAAGCCACGCCTGAAAGAAGCCTTGAACAACGTCAGAGATCCTTTCTATAGTCCTCTTGTCCTTAAGAACCTATTCAAAACGAAATAGCACGCAAAACAAAGAGAGAAACAGAGAAAAACGCCTGAAAAATGGCCGAAAACCCGAGAAAAAACGAGAAACGTACTAAATAGCACGTGAAACGAAGAGTACAAAGAGTGGAATCGAGCACGCGAACAGGCTTGTAACAAAGTTTGTTAACAGTACTACCGTATGCACATGGAATGACCGGATATGACGTCATTTTCAGGAGGGTTTGCCACCATATTTTGCAAAATGCCCTGAGGGTAAATGACGTTTGTTTTGAATTTGTTATGATTTTGAACCCATTTGTAAACAAAGTTATTGCATTTTTAATTTTTTTTCAAATTTTGTAATTTTGAAAAAAACCGCAATAACTTTGTTTACAGACAAAATAATAAATTTTAAAAATTCAAAAAATTTAAAAAATTTAAAAAATTCATTTAAAATTCCAAAAAACGTCATTTTAGCACACAAAACAATGTAAGATACTTAAAATACTATATAGTATTATCCAAAATAATCCCAGAATATACTGGCATTGTGCTAATCTTTACAGCCATTAACAACTATGACAAATGCCAAATAAACAAGATTTTAAAGGAATTGTAAAGGACATAAAGACCATTGTAAACGGTCAAAAATTTGTAGAAAATTGACTATAAAATGACGTTAAAAGTGAAAAAAAAACAATTTTTTTGCAAAAACAGTTGAAAATTGAAAAAAATATTCAAAAATTTAATCGTACTGTGCGGGTACGTTAAGTAAAAATCTCCAAATTAGTATCATACTATAGCTCAGAATCTCCTTTTTTTCGCATATACTAAACACCTTACCAATCTTTTTCAAAAATCGACCAAAACTTGAAGAAACTCAGACCAACATCAATATCAAAAATTCGAGAAATTTCGAGACTTCTTGAACTTTGAAAGCTCAGTACTATATAAACACGTACTCCAATTTAAAAATGTTTTAGCTCAAAAGACAGCTTAGAATCCCTACTTTCTAACAAAATAGTAACATTTTCAAACATCGACCATTAATCGACCAAAAATTCAAAAATCCCAAAGCAATCCAAGTTTTTCTAGAAAATTCGACAAATTTCTAGATTTCTTCAACTTTGTAAGCTCAGTACTATATGAACACGTACTCAAAATAAAAAATTTTTTAGCTGAGAAGATAGCTTAAGACCTCTACTTTCTAACACAATATAAAAATTTTTAAAAAATTGACCGAAAACCGACCAAATTTTACAAAATACCAAGATGCATCAATCACAATATATGAAGCTTGAAGAAATGGCTTTGCTATTCTTTATCTAACCTATATCGAAAAACTATGTGGAAGCAATGATAAAAAAAGTGAGAAGAGATGTAAAACTATCTCCCAACTTAACATAACAAACGTAAACCTAACATAACATATGTAAACCAGTATAAACCTATGTAAACCCACTTAAACCAATGTAAAACTATATGTAAACATATGTAAACCCCGTAAGAACCAAAGAATTCGCCCCGCCGTACTCGTTTCGAGCACGTCGTACTGGACAAAGTGAAAAATGTTGTTGTGTTGGGAGAGGAATGACGCCATCGGGCGTCATCAAAGGGCCTCGCGGGCCTTTCTCTCTCCTTTTATGGGCCGCGAACGGCCGCCTACATTTTCCTTGTTTTCTTAATGCCAAATGTTTACAGCATTGCGAAATCACGATGACCTATTTTTGGGACGCAGAGGGTGTGCAGGATGCTGAGGGTGTGCACGATGCTGAGGGTGAGCATGATGATGAGGGTGGGCAGAATGATAACGTTGAGCACAATGATGAGGATGAGCATGGTGATGAGACTGTGCATGATAATGAGGGTGTTCGAGATAAAGCGACCGGAAACAAAGATTTTGAAAATTGAGAAGATAAGACGGGGAAATGGCAAAATTAAGGGTTGTAAAGAAAGTTCTTGCCATTTCTTATTC